CGGACCATCGGTTCCAAAAATGTCTGAAGAGATGTGTTGCATAGAAATAAATCATTTTGAGTCTAAAATTACGTGGTACCCCTATGTGCACGGGATATTGGGACACCCTGTATAGGGTGTAAAAGAACACGCAGTATTGAGCTGGGGCTAGTCCGTCCTTGGCAATTTAAATTAGTTAAGTGTTTTCTATGGTCTCCATCATGTGAGGCCCCAATTAGTTACTGCACTGACAAGAATCGTTGAAAGTGTGAACTCTGAAAAAATAATATACGAATGCCGTTTGGTCAGTCATTATAATTATCCAAGGTGTCAGATAATCTCTAATGTTCTCATTAAACATTAAAATACTTTCAGGGATCATTGACATTTCATAATAGTCAATAATCACCAATAAAAACGAGAGTACTGTAGTGCGTGAATTGCAGGTTTATTCAAAATCGCTCATGTAAAAACACAAAACGCTTTTTCAGGAAATCGCATAATTGAAATTGACCAGAGTCACAATTCACAGCTGTTATAGTACAGGAAAGCTCAAAGTTAACATTTGGTTGAAATTCTTTCTAACTTTTTTATTTATTTTTTATTTTTCAAAGTCGAGTCATTTATTTTAACAGCTTGTAGAACTCGCCAAAAGAAGTTGATATACCAAAAATCACCTATATAAAAGTTGCATAATAAGAGAGTTAGTTTACATTACTAAAATTTATTTGAAAGACAGTTATTATCCATTTAACATGATACCGTTTCTTCAGCATGCGGATTTTATACTGCGTAAATGTGGCCTCGTTTGTACACAAAATTCATTTTGTAAAATCTTCATTTCTGCCTAAAATGCAACTGTTCTAGGATAATCCTCAGGTTGTAACACTTGTACCCGTTGATAATGATAAAGATTCGTTGTAGGGTCTTCCACCATTTCTAAAATGCCTCAATTTCTAACATTTCAGGTTGGACAGATCTTCCAGCGTGATCTCCTCGTTGTTCTTTCACATTAACTGTGTCACGAAGTCCAATAACTAAATTTATAAACATCCGTAGGACGAGTCCTACAAGCAGTGACTCAACTTTGCATAATGGGAAATTATATGGCATAGCTTTCCTAAAGATTTCCGACGTTATGACTACGATTGTGTGATTTTATTATGAACACTGTCCTTCAAATAGACATTATCTCTTAGCTTACGTTCTTTTAAATATCTCCTAATGAAGAACCCGGGCGCTATTAAATCTAGTGAATACGGAGGTTAATTTTAATTGGCTCTTCCATAACATGGTCCTCAAAAACCTCCCTAATTTCGTATGTGTTGTAGTTTCATCTGGTTTAAACTACAGTTTTGAATAGTTATCCACATCTCTGATGCATTATTCAATCTTGAGTGCTAGTAATGGAAACAGGATTCCTTGTAAGCCACATAAACGTTACATAGTCCAACTCGTCAGTACTGTCTTTCAATACCACCGTGAAACAATGACATCTTTTCCAGTGGCGAAGCGTCCATGTAACCATTGGTAACAGTTAAAAATCTTAAAAACAATAATGTGAAATAATTTCATTTATTTGTTTACCAACAGCGATATGTAATAGTAATTCAGTCAATAGCAAATTAGCCCTATAGTGTCTAGGTTTTGCGAACACGATGAAGCTGACTGGGTTGTCGGTTGTTACCAGTTTTATTTATGGATACACTTGGTAGTCCGTCGGGGACCTTCGGAGCCGGCTCGTGTCTGATCGCGGTCGCCCGAGTGCGTGGGACGCTGCGACTATTATGTGGGCTTGTTACCATTTTTTGATTTGGTTCTCACTCGTTCGTAGCCGTTCTGGTTACCGGCTGTAGTGTGCGTGAAATTAAACATGGATGAGTGTCACTACGTAATCGGTCAACTACTTGAAAAGTCATTCACCTTGTATAATTTTTAAGAAAAAAAGGAGATCATTTAAGAGGAAGATCAACACCTATTTTAGATGATTTTAAAAAGGATTAAAAAAACGTAGTTTGATATTTTAAATTAAGTTGGTATATGGAAACTCTTGGTTATGTGGTTGCAAAAAAACAGATTGTATTGTTGGCGATGTCTTCTGTTTTATATAGAAAAAATGGGTGGACCAGCAGCGGAGTCAATGATTTAAATAGTTTTAGGGCTCTAAACAGGAGAAATTTCTCCGTTACATGTGATATGTGTAGCCAATTTAATTCAGTTTGGCAAAACAAGAATCGAAAGTTGTCTTAACCAAGCTTTTAGGCAGCACACTTCTAGATACCGTATGTTTTTTGGCAAAACAGGAATTACCGTTTATTTTGAAGGGGATGACTCTGACAGTGGAGGAAATTACAGGAAATTGTTAACATTCATTGCCAAAAAAGATCAAAAATTTTCCGAACATCTAGAAACGTCGACTGTTTTTTCGGACGGCTTGGATTAATCATAGCATAAGACGATGAGGTATATCAAGTGCCCCAGACTCTCAGTCCAGGAATGTTTACCTTAATTTAAAAATATTTTAAATAAAATACCTAAGATAAGCAAAAACTTATATTTGGGAGGTTCAAAATAAACCTTTTTTAATAAGATTTTTCACATCTGGTTTTGGTAACAGTTTAGGAAAAGTCACGCGTCGCCACTGGTCTTTTCTTTCCGAAGATTGCTTATTCTTGGTACTAGGCCTTAAATTGTAGCAGCGCCAATGTGAACGCCTACAAAACCTGGACTTTAAAATGAATTTGAATGCTTTTGACTTGTTCTTAGGTTGAGTGTCATATTAAATTTCTCAAGCCTTCTCTAACAAATCCTAAAATACAGTAGAACCCCGATTATCCGAATGGCGGTTATCCGAAATCCGCCTTATCCGAAACAGATCGCATACAATAATTTCTCCGTTTGAACCGAAGTTGTTCGGAGAATCGGCGCATGATACGGAATAGCCGCCCTTTCGGCGTTTGCGTCATTAGATTCGCTGCCGGTGATTCACCAAGCGCGTTTGCGGTGTTCACTGGTATGTGTGCGTGTATGTTTGTTTCAGTCAGGTTCATAATCGCTAAGATGGAGCAGCATAGAAATATACGTAAACGCGTTGTTATTACCATAGAACAGAAACTTGAGACAATCAGACGTTTAGATAGAGATGATTTGCTTAAAAACGTGGCAAGTGATTTGGGTGTGGGCGTGAGTACCATTTCAGAATGGAAAAAACAACGCGAGAAAATTGAAAAGTGGTCTAGTGATGGACGATGCTTTATATCTGTGGTTTACACAGATTCGAGAACGTGAAATACCAATTGCCGGCCCAATTCTAAAGCAAAAGGCAGTCAACTTAAGTGAAGAATTGCCAGTTATTGATTCCGCTGATGGTTGACTGCATAGATGGAAAAAACGACACGGTATACGAGAATTAAAAGTTTGCGGAGAAAAGTTATCTGCCGATAAGTCCGCTGCATTGAAATTTGGAGACCATTTTAAAGAATCAATGAAGCAGTATGGTTTAAATCCAGAACAAAATTACAACTTCGACGAAACGGATCTAAACTATAAAATGTTACCGGCGAAAAGTTTAGCATCAGAACAAGAATCTGGAGCTCCTGGTTACAAACGCAGTAAAGAACGTGTGACTATCCTTGCTTGTAGCAATGCTTCCGGTACTCACAAACTTCCTTTGTTGTTAATCGGAAAATCAGCTAAACCAATAGCATTCAAACACGTCCGTCCCAACGCTCTTCCAGTGTGGCATAAAAAATAAAAAAATGCCTGGATGGATGCCGCTCTATTTAAGACTGGTTTTACAATCATTTTGTTCCCAAGACGATATTTGAGTGAACGCGGATATCCAAGAAAATGTATTTTGCTATTAGACAATGCTCCTAGCCACCCAAGTGAGGAGCAACTTAAACATGGAGAAATACGAGTTATGTTTTTGTCTCCTAATGTAACGTCACTGATTCAGCCAATGGATCAAGAACAATTAAAACGCAATTACAGACGTTTGTTATTAGAGCAAATTTTAGATCAAGTTGATAATGGTTGAAACCTCATTGATTTTTTGAAAGAGATAAACCTCAAGCATATGCCATATTGGATAGCAGAAGCATGGAACCAAGTAAAAAATTCTACTTTACAAAAATCTTGGTCGACAATAATTAAGCAAGAAATGGAAAATTGCGCAGACTATGATAGTCACAACTAACATTTACATGAGCTCCTCGTAAAAATAGCAGGGTGTAGAAATCTTACCCAAGCAGATGTTGGTGAGTGGATTAATGGTGATGTATTGGTGGAATTAACTGATACATAACTAATAAAAACTGTAGCAGTGAACAGTTTTAAGTGATGCTAGTGATAATGAGACAGACATCTCTGCCAAAATATCACATTCTGAGGGATTAGAAGCTCTACAAAAGGCGTTGACTTACGTCGAACAACAAGAAAATGCGACAGCGCTGATGTGCTATCAAACGTTGGAGGAATATTGCTGCCAAAAATAGGAACAATGCAAAACGTGTACAGTTAAAAATTACTTCCTTTGTTACTAAATACTCGTAAATATGTATGTTTTTATCCACATGTTTATATTTTACGTAACTTTATATAGGTATATACCCACTTAACACACGCATTTACTTTTTTCAATAAAAGCATTATGAGTCGTAATATTTATTTCTATTTTATCCGAAATTTCGATTATCCGAAAGCACTTGGGTCCACATTATTTCGGATAATCGGGGTTCTACTGTAATAAAAAGTATCCCTCTATAAAAGTTGGTAATGTTGAATGTTGTATTCCCCATCCTCAGAGATCTGCGACCTCCAGTCTTCTTATCACAGAAACAGCTTGGGCTAGAGAATTAACGGCGTTGAGAATTAAGCTTTGGCACTCTCTAACAAGCGACATTTTACTAAGAGAAGCTACCAGCTATTTTCGTGGAAATGTACACAACGCATGAACATTCGCGCTGTATTTATTCCGAAAACAACTCGCCACATACCCTAAAAAATAATTTTGCTTCTAGGTCATGTAGATAACGAATCATACTTGGTAAAAGCGCTGGAAAAGATTGGACAGAATGCATTAACGAAAGAGCACGAAGAAACCATAGGAAATGCATTTTTGAAATTTGCTGTCGTTACTCAAGAATTATCCGCGCTTATGAAAACACTGATGCAGAATTTAAATAACATAGTTATGTTTCCCTTGGATAGTCTGTTGAAAGGAGACTTGAGAGGAGTTAAAGGTAAGTTTGCCGACATGACCTTCAGTGCACCGTATCTACTACGAGGGCAATCCAAAAAATATGGCCTCCTATACAAGTATGTAGTACGTTCTCCTCTGCAGCAAACTCGAAAGTAAGCTGTTAGGGGGCTCTATATCGATATGTTATATTTATATCCACAGGTGATCTGAAGAGGCCATTCGATAAAGCTTGGAAGGACTACGAAAGCAAATATGCGAAAATTGAGAAGGAAAAAAAGCAACAGGCTAAAGATGCAGGATTGATTAGGTCAGAAGTAACCGCGGCTGAAATTGCCGATGAAATGGAAAAAGAAAGGAGGTTATTCCAGCTTGCAATGTGCGAGGTAATATTTGATCGCTATAATTGTATCACTATGTTCCCGAAGTTTTATCCTCCATATCGTTGGTCTCCTCACGTACAGGCGTAAATGACAAAAAATATCTAAAATCGAGTTACCCCGTAAGTTCACATATTTTTTTGTAGTCTTTTACATCACGAAGTGACGTAACTGTATATCAGTTCGCTGCTTGGAAATAAAATGCTCAAAAAATTGCGTAAGTGTTAAAATTCCAAAAACAATTTTCATATACCGGCTTAAACAGATTTACGCCTCTGCTGAAACTTATTTTACTTTTACAAATCCCAAAACAAAGTTCTACATAATTTCAGTCTAACAAAAAAACGGCAACATGCTGACTAAAAAATCAGTATGTCATTTTCAATCTTATTTATTGTTTATTTTCGTTTTCTAGCTCTCCTGTAAAATTTGTAAGATGCTAGTTACGTCGCTAGGTGCGGAGACCGACGATATGCGAAAGCCTGTCTCCTACGACATTGGGTCCATGATGAGCATACTGATTTTGACTCTTTTCCTTGCTTTGTGGTATTTTACTAACAGTTATCTTCATTTTAGTATTTGATAAAGTATAACGAAATAAAAACGAAGAAGGGTATTGACTTGCTACAGAGCTTAGTAGAATATTATCATGCTCAAACAAAGTAAGTAACATATTGTGAAAGGAGGGGCACAAACCTTACGGAATTCAATCCCCGGTGAATATTGCTGAAAATATGGGAATAAGCTTACAGAGCATCCTGATCAAAAGTTCTCATGGGCTCTTAAGGTGGCACGTCCCTTTTTTCAGATTTCTTTCAACTTCCTGTTTGCACCAGTATTCTAAATCCTTTGCATCTGATAATTTTATGGTTTGTATAGAGATGACTAAATAACACTGTTTTATTTTGTTTGTCAAAAAATACATTTTTTGTGCATTTTACTGTGCATTTTTTCGTCAATCGGAACCTGTTAAAAAATATAAGTACAGCTCTGAAATTGTGTGTGAATATTACTCTTTTATGTAAGAATGAAACGAGTGATTACTTTTGTTGCTATCACTTTTCCTTTTCGAAAAATCTTTGCTTTTCTTGAAAACCCAACTTGCTGCGAGACGAAAAATACATTTTTTGTGCATTTTTACTTCAATCGGAACTTGTTAACAAATATAAGTACAGCTTTGAAATTGTGCGTGAATATTCCTTTTTTATGGAAGAATGAAACGAGTGATTACTTTTGTTCTTATCACTTTTCCTTTTCGAAAAATCATTGCTTTTCTTGAAAACCCAACTTGCTGCGAGACGGTGCTTCAAGAAAATCAAAGATTTCTCGAAAAGGAAAAGTTATAACAACAAAAGTAATCACTCGTTTCATTCTTCCATAAAAGAGGAATATTCACACACAATTTCAGAGCTGGATTTGTTAACAAGTTCCGATTGAAGAAAAAATGCACAATAAAATTCACAAAAAATGCATTTTTTGACAAAAAAAAAATGAAAACACTGTTTTTTAGTCATCTCTATACACACCATGAAATTATCAGATGAAAAGGATTTAGAATGCTGCTGCAAACAGGAAGTTGAAAAGAAATCTAAAAAAGAGGAACGTGTCACCTTAGCAATACTATGAAACGTTTCCATGATATACAGGGTGTCCCAAGCATACGAGAACGGAGTATTGCTTCTAAACAAAAAGAATATCAAAGAAAACTATTTATGGCTTGCTATACATGATATCCGAAAGCTCATTTATAAAATACTCACAAAAAGGATCTACCCGAGCGTGTAATAAAAAGTACAGCCTTCCATTTAAAACAAATATTTTTGATGTGGTTCAAAATTGGGACACCCTGTATAATTGTGAGTATTTTATAAATGTGCCTTCGAATACCATGTACCATAAATAGTTTTCTTTGATGAGTTTTTATTTAGGAACAATACTCCATTTCCGCATGCTTAGGACACTGTATATCATGGAAACTCTTCTAGAGCTCAGGAGAACTTTTGATCCGGATGCTCTAGAGAGCTTATTCCCAAAGTTTGAGCAAGACTCACTGGGGACTGATTTCTGTAAGGTTTGTGCCCCCTCCTTTTTCCAATGCTTATACTGTTTCCCAAGTAGAGAATGATACAAACCACGTTTGTTTTTAGTTATTTTCAAGACGGATTAAAGACGATAGAACATTTTGGAAACTACGTAGCAGATCTTAGTGTAAGGTTACAAAAAATTAGGCAAGCGCAAGATGAAGAAAAAAGGAAACTTTGTGATTTGAGGAACTTGATTAAGTCCACTCCAAGTATCGAAAAAGAGGTATGTAGTTCATTCAAGGCTCTTTGGCACCCTCATCTATTCATATATCAACATCAGTCAGTGGTTTCATCAAAACAATAGTGCGGACGTAGTGAGACGATAAATAAGGGAATTCCAAATTCATTTTTCATGAATATCAAAACACGCCAAATCTTTAATCTCATCTCATATCATAGGCAGTAAAGTTTTCTAGCAGAAACCTACAACTAGCCAGACTTTTAAAAAGCTGTGGCTGTATTTTATCACTGATTAACATACAGGGTGTTCAAAAAGTAGACGGAGATATTTCAGAGGGTGATTCCTTGTTAAAAAATATGAACAAAAGTTCCTATAAGCATGGGTCCGGAAATGCTCAGTTTTCAAGATACAGGGTGGTGAATTTAAAAAAAAATATTTTTTATCAATGTCTTGAAAAATATTTACTCGAACCGGTTGAAATTTGGCAATATTATTTTTTATATTACCAGGCTAATTTAGCCTTAAATAGATTAAAGTTATTAGGTCCAGCATCAAAAAATACAACATCTTTGCCTTTTTTTCGTATTTCACTTCGTTTTCGAGAAAAAAAAAATAAAAACGGTTTTATTGCATATCTCTGGACAAGATTAGCTTATTAATTTTTGCTCAAAAAATCACAAGTGCCTTAGAGAGCAAAAAATAATTTCTGCATGGAGGTTAATACAATAAATGATATTGCCAAATTTCAACAGGAACGAAATTTTTTTTTAATTCATCAGTATCTTAAAACCTCTGCATTTCTGAATTTCAATTTGCTTACGTTTGAACACGTTTCGTGAGAAGTTTTGTTTTTCTGATATTTACAACGTTTGGACTGCTTTTTTAAATGGATAAGGTATGTGAAGAAATCATATACCTCACATTTGACTTACAAAAAACGCTTCCTTGCCAAAAATTTCTACAAGTAAAACCTTATATTTACGACAAGTATGGCTCTACAATCTAGGAGTACATTATTTGATATCAACACAGCAACCAAATGGTAAAGGTTTTTCCATGTCTGACCCGAAGACCAAGTAAATCGCGGTCCTGAAGAGATTGGCACATCACTTATGGCCTTTTTGGAAAATATCAAGGGCCAACGCATGGCTTCCGATCATCTGATTGCATGGAGTGATTCGGCAGGTGGCCAAAATAAAAAAATTATATTTTCCGTCTTTGGCACTACCTAATAATCTCTGGGGTGTTAGAAAAAAATTGACCATAAGTTTCCTGAAGTAGGACATACCTTCATGGACTCTGATAGAGGTTTTGCAGATGTAGAAAAGTCTATCAGAAAGCACCAACTAATTTGTACGATGGATTAATATACAGGGTGCGTCATCTATTACTTTTTTTCAATTTGAAAAATCAACACGCTTTTTACGAGGTGAAATCGAATTTTTTTATTGATAAATGAAGGTTGGTTTATGCCATTTGTGTATGAAAAATAACATCAGTCATGTGGTCACCGCGGCTTCGTTTACAGGCCAACATCAAAATTTTCAATGACGATGAGAATAATCGGGTCTATGGCCGCAATTTCAGTCCGAATATTGCGCTTTAGGCCTTGAACTGTCCGGGGACCATTCGCATACACTTTTCCTTCCAAAAATCCCCAAAGAAAATAGTCCAGAGGTGTTAAATCGCACGATGTCGGGGGCCAACTGACATCTGAATTTCGTGAAATTATGCGGTCTAGAAATTTCGTACGGAATAAGGCGATTATTTGGCGAGATGCGTGAGCCGTTGCTCCGTCTTGATGAAACCAAAGATCGTCGGCACCAATACTATCCAATTGTGGCCACAAAAAGTCTGTTAACATGCCGCGATAACGTTCCCCGTTGACGGTAATGGCCTTTTCTTCGGCATCTTCAAAGAAGAATGGTCCAACGATGCCACCAGCCCATAATCTGCACCAGACAGTCAATTGGTGTGCATTTTCAGCCCCCCAGAATCTGCAATTTTGCTTATTTACGTACCCATTGAGGTGAAAATGAGCCTCATCAGAAAAGAGTACTTTGACCGAAAATCTGTCTTCTCTTTCCAGCATCCAATTAACAAAAACACGCCGCTGTTGATGGTCTGCCGGCTTCAATTCTTGTGTTAGTTGGATTTTGTATGGATGGAGGTGTAAATCAATGTGTAAAATCCGGCGTAAAGTGGTCTCACTAATTCCCAATTGTTGCGAACGGTGCCTAGTCGAGGTGGTTGGATCCTCTCGCACACTTTCACTTACTGCGTCTGCTTTCACGAGTACGAGCTGGACGAGCATGTTGGTGTGGTCTACGACCTTCAGCTGAACCAGATTCCTCAAAACGATTAACAATCCAACGAATTCCAGGCTCTGTAGGGCATCCATATCGGCCAAAACTAGTGCGAAGTTTGCGAAAAGTATTTTTTATATTTCGACCGTTTTCGTAATAAGTTTGGATAACCAAAATGCGTTGTTGTGTTGTAAACGAATCCATGACTATAAATGGCATACCTCTGACAGTTCATTTTGCATACCACATGATTTTTGACTCACATGGTAACACATAAACTTATAGGTAAAAAAAAGTAATAGATAGCGCACCCAGTATTTCAACCATGGCAGAAGCCAGGAAAAAAAAGCATCTTTAATATTGCAAGAATAGCGGACAAATTTGTTGATATCAAAGAACTTCCAAGAAAACTTGGACTGGTCGATAGAAAAAAAACTACATCTAATGAAAAATGTTCATTCAAAAATGTAAGATGGATCCAGATTGAAGAATTTGGTGTAACCAAGTACATATACTCTTTTAATGAAACGGAAAATTGAACTATTGTTGATATAAGAAAACAGCGAAATCTCGATAGACGAGTAGAAAATGAACCATTATTATTGAATGTCTATAGAAGCCGACCTATTGGGGCCCAAAAGTTTTTATAATATTCAGGAACAAATTCCTTTAATACCAGCAAATTTTAGAGGCTTTTATCAAAATTTAAGAAGAGCAGACAATTAGTTACAGTGGCTTATTTGTTATTATTTTTGTGAGTTTGTAATAGAAAAAAAGAACAATGTTTAAATATACATCATTGAATTAACACCTTTCCTCTATTTTCATTTTCCGGACCAAGCAAATAACAGTTTTCTAAACAGGTGTTAAGTTAGATTTTCAACAGCCTTTTTCAAATTTCTGATAATAAAAACAATTTTTTGACAAAACAATCTATTAAAGATACTTCTGTATGTGTCTAAAATAACCTTCAATAATAAAAGCAGCCCTAACACCATTCAATAAAAAATGTCAGTATTTAAACTTTGAGGCCAATTATCTCCAAATTATAAAATCTGAGTTAACACCTTTTTGTACCAAAGGCTTAATTGTCAATTTTGTTTGTGGAAAATATTGATTTTTCGTGAAAAGTTGATAAAAGCATTTTTTTCAGGTGGGTCCTCAAGTGGATAAAGGGGCAGCAGGGTATTCGTTACATCAGTTACAAGGTGATAAACACCATGGTGTGACCAGAACTGGCCACCTTCTCAAAAAGTCGGAGGGTAAAATGAGAAGGGTCTGGCAGAAACGCAAGTGCAGGGTACAAGCGGAAGGTTTCCTCGAGATATGTCATGCTGACGAGAGCAAGCCTCCTACAAGGATAAATTTGCTCACATGTCAGATCAAGATTGTTCCAGAAGATAAGAAGGGTTTTGACTTGATTTCGTGTACGTTCGTGTTTTGAATAATATTTTATGAAGTATCTCCGATAATTTAAGGTAGTATTTTCGCAAATTCAGCACTTTAGAATCTTTGATCCGACATTGTCAGCCTTACAGACCAAATTGAGTATAATACATGTTTGTATTGTTAAAAAAAACGGTCAAGTAAATACTGTTGCTTTAATACAGAAGTACAGGTACTTCAAAAATGAAATTACACTTTTTTTGGTTTTACATAAGGTGGCACGTCCCTTTTTTTAGATTTCTTTTCAACTTCCTATTTGCAGCAGTACTCTAAATCCTTTTCATCTGATAATTTCATGGAGATGACTAAAAAACGTTTTCATTTTTTTTTTTGTCAAAAAATAATTTTTTTGTGCATTTTATTGTGCATTTTTTCTTCGATCGGAACAAATATAAGTACAGCTCTGAAATTGTATTTGAATATTCCTCTTTTATGGAAGAATGAAACGAGTGACTACTTTTGTTCTAATTACTTTTCCTTTTCGAAAAATCTTTGATTTTCTTGAAGCCTCGTCTCGCAGCAAGTTGGTAAACAGGTTTATTGAGTTTATTTTGCACTTTTCATCATTTTTCTCTTCCCAATTCTGGATTTTTCTTTTATAGCTCTATTTAACATCCGGATTTTAAAATACATTTTAGATCTAAAAAAAGATGCTTGGCATCTGCACTTACACTAACTGGCGTAGCTAAATCGATTAACGATTTTGAATAATCTTTGGTCAGTTTTAATGACCTTGCGTTGAAATTTTCGAAAATATGGTCAAGTGCGTTATATTTTATAGAAATTTAGACCTGCGTTGGAGCGACGACATGTGCATATGTCGAAAAGAAAAATTATTATGAGTTCTTGCATATAATTTTATTTTTGTATTTACAGATAATCGGACGTATCACTTTCAAGCAGAGGATGAATCTGATCAGAAGGCATGGATGTCAGTATTAATAAACTGTAAAGAAATGGCATTGATGAAAGCTTTTGATGATAACACAAAGTCAGGTGGTGATAATCATAGTTTTAAGGAACTGCAACAGGCTATCATCAAGTACATTCAGAAAATTCCTGGCAACGACCGATGCTGTGATTGTAACTCTCAAAATGGTATGTAACATTTATTTCTTTGTTTGTTGTACAAATACAAAGTTTTGCAATACAGCTTTATTTATTGACTTCGTTCAAAGTGATTTCCACCACATTCAATACATTTCTCCATCCGGCAAAACCAGCTCTGCCAGGTTTCACCCGGGAGTGCGGCACACTCGTTGTCCCAATCCCTCAGAAGGTCCTTATCGCTAGAAAACCGTTTTCCTATTAGCACATTTGCACTTGCGGAAAGAGTGCAAAGTCGCTGGAAGCAAGATCTGGACCTGGAGGTTGCTCATTAAGTTTCAGTCCAGTATTGGTCAAATCTTCACTGCAGGCTTTCGCGCGGTGAGCTGGAGTGTGGTGGAGGTACTAAGTGTCCATTCTTCACTTTGGCCGCAGGTTTTTGATAGGCTCTATGACTTAGACAGGCACTGTTCCGTGTACCAGTAAGCTGTGATTGCCTTCTATGTGTCAAAATGACACGCTCCACAATCCCGCTCGATTTGAAAAATACAGCATTTTTTTATTAACAGATCGGAATTTTCCGGCAGCTACTCTGCCGTGCTAAGCAAGAAAGTCGTATCTGACAGGTTTATCAAAATAAGGTTTATGCAATATTAAGGATTACTGTATAATTTCCTATCTATTGTACTACGAGCAAAAGCAGCATGAAGAATATTAACGTTTAATTTTGCTTATAAAATTTGTCATAACTGAAAAATTGCCACGGTTCCTGCTAAAGCTTCTCGGATGTAACTAAATGTCGTTTCGTCACAGGGTGTTTCAGAACTAAGGGATCAAACTTAAACTGTTATTCAGTGTAACAGTAGAAAATATTTGAGTATAGGAACCCATATCCGGAAAAGTGTCACTACGGCCCTAAGACGCGTTAAAATTTAGAAAGACGATGAGTTGCCTAAATAGGATTTAATGCATTTAATTTTTGCCTTTTGTACATGATATCATCACAACAATTGTTCAAAATATCTTCCTCCAACCTGAATACACCGATTTAAACGTCGCACATGATTTCGGCGGACTTGACTAAAATTTCAAAACGAGTATCAAATTTTTAGTCAAGTCCGCCGAAATCATGTGTATTCATGTTGGAGGAAGAAATTTTGAACAATTGTTGTGATGATATCACGTACAAAAGGCAAAAATTAAATGCATTAAATCCTATTCAGGCAATTCATCGTCTTTCTAAATTTTAACGCGTCTTAGGGCCGTAGTGCCGTAGTGACACTTTTCCGGATATGGGTCCCTATACTCAAATGCTTTCTACTGTTACACTGAATAACCCCTACAAGTTTGATCCCATAGTTCTGAACATACATAGATACGTCCATTTCTATTAGTACTAGAGGAACAAAGTTTTCCACTGGTCTTGTCGTATAGGGAAATAGTATTCGTAACTTTAGGAGGTGATTCCTTGCATTATTCTAATCAAAAAAGTTAATTACAACTTATGTCCGAAAATAAATCGTTTTCGAGGAAAGCGAGTCGTAAATAATTAAATTTTCTCAAACATTTGGCAACGCTGCATCGCAACAGCGATACGAACGCACGACGACCGCAACTGATTCATCGAGTTGTTTGTATGATATTTTTGTTGAAAATATGTCTTGAATTATTGAATACTTTTACGTAATTTTTTGTGACTAATATTTTTTATTTAATAACGCTTTCAGTACAGTACATTTATTTAAAAAAAATTACAGAACTTACCGGTACGTGGCGATACACACCACCAATTCCCACGATTATCAGTCACTTATTTGAAACGATGCGACGCACGAAAAAAGAAAAAAAACACCATCCGTAAATCACATAAAGTTACAGTTAAGTGTATTAGTAATCACAACAACACGCGATGATACATGCAGTGCAGGCGGAGTACGACGTTGCCAGTTATGTGAGGGATTTTGTTTGTCTGTTTTTTTTTCGGAAAGTTGTATTTAATAAGCAAGAACATTATTTGGCCTATTAGGCATATGAATTTAAATTATTAAGATGAAAAATTAATCTATTTCATGACTAAAAAGAAATAAGTTCAGCATATTTTTTTTTGCTCCGAAACGGTTGATTTTCGGACATAGGTTATAATGAACTTATTTGTTTGGAATAATGCAAGGCATCACCTCTTAAAGTTACGAATATTATTTAACTAACACCCTGTATTACAAATTCACCATTTTATTATTCCCAAACCTTATTTGCAAGATATGGTATTTGCTCAGTTTCAGAGAGGACAGAGATGTTTAAAATATAAAATACCCTTTTCTGGAGATTTTTGTTGTATAAATTTCCTATTCTCTAAATACGAAACAGAACAATATTATAAGTAAAATTAAAAGTCTGATCCCGGAAACTAAAACTTAATAAAACCCTCTTTTAGATTATATCGGTTTATTTTGCATTGAAGTATGTTATTTTTGAGGATATGATAAACTATTTTGGTAGATATGATTGGTTTTCTTAACAATTATAATGAAAAATACATAGAAGTAACGTCGTATCTGCAATCTCCTATGTGACTGAACATTTAAAAAAATAAACGTTAAAAAATACATGAGTCGGAAGTACTTACTTCATTCTACATACATATTACTTAACTGCAGTTTTAAAGAAAAAAGACCTCCATAAAAATCACTTTTGTGCGAAACTGCAAAATGCAGATACGACATTTTTGATAAGTACGCCAGTACAGGTGTGTCCTCATAATCAAAGACCCAAACTTTGTTTTGAGTCTTGGTCGGCACATCGTAATAACAGATCCAAGTCTCGTCACCTATCACGATGCTGTTCACATACCGATATTGCCCCTTAAACATTTTCAGTATCTTTCGGCACCAAGTCGTACGACGAGTCTTCTGCTCTGCCGTCAGACTATGCAGTACCCAGAGAGCACAAATGGTCATGCAGAATTAAATGAATTGCTGGTGCATGAAGGTGTAAGGTCTCCTCTATCTATTGGTATGCCACTTTCCAGTCTTCGTCAAGCATTTTCCTCGCGGCAGTAATGGTTTCCTCTGTTACTGACGTTCGCGGCCTTCCCTTCCTCTCAGCGTCCTCCAGGGTGAAACTGCCCCTTTGGAATTCTCTGTATCACCTGAATATAGTCGTACGATGAGGACAATAATTCTTTAATGCAAGCATCATTAATTCTATGCACTGATCTATGCTTAAACTACACTGTCAATACGAATGTACAAATAAATCAACAGACGTGCTGCTGGCGGCCACTATGCACTCATGGACATGTCTGAATATGCAGTAACATGCAGCCTCCTGCGTCCTTTTGTTGAGTCATATTGCAAAACATTTATAGTACCTTTTGTATGTTTTATCTGCTCATCACAAGATGTGTTAAAATACTGATTCAGACTACCTGGCTTATATCCTTTGGACTATTGAAACATGTTTTTTTCAGATGCCACATGGTTGTCAACAAACTTTGGTATCATAGTATGCATAGAATGTTCAGGGATACACAGGGACCTAGGAGTACATATAAGTCGGATACAGTCGTTAACGTTAGATAACGTCGCAACTAGTCAGTTAGTGCTTGCAAGGTTCATGACGAATCATGCTTTTAATGACATTATGGAGGCGCATCTGTCACCACACGACAAGCTAGATCCTTCCAGTTCAATGTGAGTAGTTCGTCATTTTTCAGTGAACGTTTCATCTAATAACACTTTTATTCTTACAATGAAATTTTATACTGACATTAGTGAATGCAGGCAGAAGATATTTAATATTGCTATAAATGCGTTTATGGTGAGAATCTGTGGCTTTTCCAGGTTTTATGTAGAAATACTCCTCATTATTGTATGTAAATCAATTAATACTTTTTGTATTCCACTAATATGAATCCTTTTGAGTCAGTTCAATATCTTGTAAACTCAAATTGAACGTTTTTATTTGGATACTGGGTGTAAAATGCTTCACTTTCGAGATTGAATTTTCCAACTTTTTTTTTATAATTTGTATGTCCTTGTGGTTTTAGGGATGAACGACTAAATTTTATTAGAGCAAAATACGTAGAAAAAAGGTTTGCAACAAGGGCCTGCCAATCAGAAATGGAAAAAATGTTTGAATTAGAAGAAGCTGTCAACAGAGGCGATCTGCAGTTACTTTTACAGACGTTTGCAGAAAATGTTGATTATAGTCAACCATTACCATACTCAGTAAGTTTTATTTATTTTTTACCTAATTTCACCATTTCGCCTCCTAATGGATAATGCGGCATTTATACAGGGCGGGCCAAGAATTCGCTCATTACTGTGAGAGGCTTATTTCGCGTTGAAATCAATTTACACGACTTAAGTCAGTGTCCGAGTGCTCCCTTGATAAAGAAATGGGTGAAGAAGTTCGAACGGGATCTACACTGAATGTGAAGCAAACCGGCGCCTCACGGACTGCTCGGAGCCAAGAGTGCAGCAAGTTTCCGCTTCTGTTCAACGTGATCCAGATTTATCGACGCGCAAACGTTCGGCTGAATTAGGATTATCCCGCCCATCATTACGCCGTGTTTTGAGATTAGATTTGAAATTACATCCATATAAGATCCAGATAGTCCAGGAATTAAAACCTAATGATTTAAATTTGCGCAAGTCGTATGCCGAAACGATGTTAGCTCGATTCAGTAATTTTGACAATCTCTTATTTTCTGACGAAGCCCATTTCCACCTCAACGTGCATGTGAATAAACAGAACTGCAGGTACTGGAGCAGCGAAAATCCCGAAGCTAAACACGAGAAGCCACTTTACTCTCCTAAAGTAACTGTATGGGCTGCAATTTCAGCAAAAGCAATCATTGGCCCCTACTTCTTTGAAGATTCTCGCGGCCATTCAGTTACTGTTAATTCTGCTGAGTATGTGAAAATATTACGGGAGTTCTTGGTACCGATTCTACTGGAATTTGCGGGATATAATCCTAACACATGGTTTCAACAAGATGAAGCCACGTGTCACACATCCAACGAGTCCCTGCCGGTGGTCAAAGAAATGTTTCTGGAAAAGCTTATCTCCAGACGAGGCGACATCCCATGGCCCCCAGAAGTCCAGATCTATCCCCACCAGACTTTTTTATGGGGTTATTTAAAGAGTCGTGTCTACATCAATAAACCAAGTACACTCCGTCAACTAAAAGAAAACATCAACGAACAGATGTCGGCGATCTCGCAGTCTTTATGCCGACGAGTATTCGAAAACTTCGGTACACGTTTAGAAGAGTGCAACAATCGTAACGGTGTCATTTAGATAATATAATTTTCAAGAAATGAATTTCAAATAATTAGCTTTCTTGTAAATAAACAACTTTTAAAATATGTCAAATGTTTTTTTCATACGATTTTTTCAAATGTTAACTAATTCATGGCCCACCCTGTAGTTAGCGTCTTTTTTGAAAAAAATGACTGGGAAATTTTATATTGAGCTGGCGTTATTAAGATAAATTTGATTATGCACGACGGATGGAGCAGCAAATATTATTTATAAGACATCTCTCATGCTTCTACATTCCATGCTTCTCAAAACATAAAGAAACATATTAGTTTTCCAAAAGTGTTAGTTTTATTTAAAAACACCATCCCTAAGTACGCTCAATTATCTTATTCACTAAGTTCACCATCTGCAGTTTCATTCCAAAAAATCTCATTGTACTGGTCGTTGAAACCGGAAGTTCAACAATTTACGAAATCGGAAAGTTTTCAATTTGAGCGAAACCTAAATAGGTTGCACATGCTTTTTATATCTATACCATTTTTATGAATATGTTTGGTCTCGTCGAATATTTTTCACTTTTTTTAACATTTAGAGCCGTATCGTCAGTCGTTCGTACAATTGCAGGACGCCTTTATGACCTCATTGATTTCCATAGTCTTTTCTCTCCTTCAGAAAGGCTGGGGTATTTCTAGATTTCTACAGGCCCGTGTCAGCGTCAGCACTCTCTTATTTTAAGGCTATGTTTCCTTTTTGAATTGTAGCAAATTTCAGGCTGATATGACAGATTATATAAATCAAACGCATTAGCAATTTGATGCAAATAGATATTTGTAACATAACCTCAAAATAGAGCGCGGACACGGAATAATAGAAAACTATGAAAATTAAGGAGGACTTAAAGACGTCCTATAATTGTAGGAATGACTGACGATACGTCCCCTAATTGCCTTAATCTTGACATGGATTTTTTTTCGCATTTAATTGAATTATATTTTGCTTTGGGATATAGATACGTGCATAGCCCGTTGCACGTTCTCATACTAGAGCTCCTTTCCTGTTGAGTTATTTAGAGTAACTCAGTAGTGCTCAGCACCAATACCATTCCACTGCACGATGTATCACCATGCATTATATTTAGAGCAGTTCGAGAGTATATCATCCTTTAAAAAAAAACTCTGGAAAGCAGCTCAGTAATTAGTAATTCTCTACGAGATTCGAGTAAACACACGCAAAACAAAATTTACGTTCTAAAAACTATGTCGGCCATATGGCGCCCTTGAGCCGAAATCAGGAATCAAGCCTCTCCCGAAATAAGCCCAGTGCGTCGGCCAGCATCCGTGTAGGAATTTGGGTTACTTCTGTTCTTATTTCCTCCTTCAAATCGACGAGGATCCAAGGCTTGCTTTGCTAAACTTTTGATTTCAGGTAGCTCCATAAAAAATCACACGTTGACAGGTCCAGTCCAAGGGCCAATAATCATCGTTGGGCCTACTGCCGACCAAACTGTAACTTTCGGGGTATGCAGGGGGTGCTCATGCAACTGTTGGGGGTTCACTGGCGACCAATATCGACAATTTTGTTTATGGACGTATCCATGTAAATGAAAATGTGCTTCATCACTCATAAACAACGTCATGTCATTGTTATCCAGCTGTTCAATCATGAGCTGTGCAAAATTAAAATGGTGTTACGGTCTGGTACTGTCCCACTACGTGGAACGTTCGAACGACAGACTCGCCATTTTGAAAGTACCGACGTACAGTGAACACACGATGCTCAACGTTCCAAACCATCTTGCCAAGTGAAACGGCAATTCTCCCACTATCCAACAAGCCCTTCCCCCCCGACACGGGACCAGCCCACTCTATGTATCATATACGCCTCCCTAAATGTGCAGGCTTACCGTATCTACCATTTTGCTATATTTTGGAAAGCGGTAGCACACCCCCCACCTTCCCTATCCAACTCTGAGGTCCTATTAGGCCCGCACTTTGCTGCCCTCCTCTCCGTTTGGCTTTCCACAGACATATTTCAATATATCTTCCACCGTTTTTCCTTCAATATAATGCTTTTTAGATTTCTCGTCTACCGTTCTCAGCATTTTTGATCTGCCTACTTTTTAGTTTTAAAAATCACACAAGTAGTAATTTCATGAAGTACTTTGTACGAATTATCAAATTTTGTTTTCAAGAAATAGGTTTAAAATCACTGTGAAGTAGTAATTTCAGGAAGTACTTTGTACGAATTTCAAATTTTGTTTCCAGAAAATTGGCGAAACGGCACTACACCGCGCGATTTTGAACGAATCAGGCAGGACCCTTCACATAGTGGACTTCCTGATTCAAAACATGTCGAATTCAGCGATTGACAAACCGACTAACCCCCCTGCAGTACCTGAAATGAGCGGTAGTAACACCGCCCTGCACCTGTGCGCCATCTATGACAAAGTGGAATGCATGAAACTACTGCTCAGAAGCGGAGCTGACGCGAATCTTAGAAACTCGCAGAACAAGACTGCAATGGATATTGCCCAAGAGTTGGGGAATACTGCGTGCCAAGAGCTGGTGAGTTTATTTTTTTAATCTTGCATCAATCCGAATACAAAACTCGTTAATTTTTCACTTACTCCATAATATGACCAGAAAGTTCAACAGCGGGTGTTCGTTTCTATAATTTCGACTTCAAGCGCCTGCCACATAGGCGTCCCATTATTACTTAGGCCCGTATCGTCAGTCGTCCCTACAATTGTAGGGCGCCTTTATGGCCTCCTTGATTGTCATAGTTTTCTACTTCTCCCTGTCAGGGCTCTATTTTGAGGTTATCTCACAAACATCTATTTGCATCAAATTGTGCTTGCTTATGAGTTATATCATGTTTTATCAGCCTGAAATTTCCTACATTTTAAAAAGAAAACATATCTTCACAATAGGAGAGCGCTGACGCTGACACGGGACAAGTGTAATCTAGAACTTTTTGAAGGAGGGAAAGGAGTATGACAATCAAGGAGGCCATAAACGCGCCCTACAATTGTAGGGACGACTGACGATACGGGCCTTAGAGATACTAAGTACTCATCGTGCTACCAGCATTGACGACCCATGCGAAAGTTGCATAAACTAATGCAACGTTTCATAAACTAATAGAACTTTACATAAACTAGTGCAACTTTGCATAAACTGATGCAACTTTTGCATAAACTAGTGCAACTTTTGCATAAACTAGTGCAAATTTTCCATAAACTAGTGCAGCTTTTGCATAAACTAGTGAAAGTTTTGCATAAACTAGTGCAACTTTTGCATAAACCAGTCCAACTTTTGCATAAACTAGTGCAACTTTTACATAAACTAGTGCAACTTTTGCATAAACCAATGCAACTTTGCATAAATAATTTTGGTACCGTAGACTAATGCGAGAGACTGTAGTTTCTTTCTGCCAACATAAGGGTGGGTAGTGATGCCATTGGTGAAACTATCCATAGATGGCGTTCCACATGTGGTTCATTCTTCGCACCTGTTTGAGAGTTAACAGAGGATAGTTAACTAATAAATTATTTTTAACATCGTTTATATTTTTTTTTCAGTTACAAAATGCTGCGAACAGGCTGAAGAATTATTTTGACAATATAAATATTGATTGGAATTTGTCACATGATGACGGATCCACTGACTTCTCTGATGATGAAACTATTATCGAAGATAGGGTGAGTAGAGTACATACACAACGTGGATTCATAATATATAATCACTTATATGATATACAGGGCGAATTTTTACTGTGGACTTGGCTGATAACTCGGTTATTATGCGATTAGTTAGAAAAATTGTAGCTAAAAGTATGCTCTTTACCTGGAAAATATTTTCACCTCTGTAGAGTGATTTATAACTTCATGGTGACCCAAACATACAATTTAAATTGAATGATCTACTTATATTGCAGATTTTATATCTATAGGGTTTTATTTTCAAATTGTTGAGATATTGGATAATTTATCGAAAAAAATACTCAACTTTCAGAACTCGCATTTTGTCATCTGTTAAGCTAGAGTACCAAATTTATCGACAAAAACAATAAGAAAATATAAAAATGATCTAATATTTTCTCCCTATTACTTTTTCAGATCCTTTGATAGCTTATCAAGAACGCACGCGAAATGAACGACTTCGAATTTTCAAATTGAACAACCTGTATATTTGCACATCGTTTGATTCCCCCTTCACATGCTTTTTTATATATAATGTTTTTGGGGGTTTGTTTTTGAATTACAGCTAACCTTTTTGTAAATCAGATATAAAGGTAAATGGAAAATATTACATTACATTACATTAAAAAAGTCAAGAATGTCTCCCTGTGTGTTTAGTAACTCAAAAACCATACAAACCATTGTAAACCTCATATTGGAAGAAAGCTGGCGAAAAGGGAAATACTCATTCGAAAGTTCTGAGAAATACTTGATTTTGTGTTCTTGACCACCCTGTAGAAACAATTAAAAAAACTGAATAGGTAAGCAGATAGGGAGAAAATATGGGATCATAGAATTTTCTGCCGAAAAATTCAGTACTCTAGCTCTAACAGTTGCTGAGGTGAGATTTTTTTGCCTGTCAAAATCTCTAATAAAATGTAGGGCTTGCCATTGAAAAAATGTGTGTTTGGGTCGCAACGTAGCTATGAATCACCCTGCATAATATTCATTCTTTTCAGAATGGATCATTGACCCCAGAAAAGAAAAACCGTTCAAGGCCTCCAAGCTACACAAGTGAGTACTTTTTACATGTCAGTGCTTAATTTTTGAATAAATGCAAGTCCGTGTGCATCTGAATGAAAACTGGTATCCTCGGAAAATCGAGTGTGTAGATTCCGAAACTGATGTTAATTTGTTAAATATTAATTTTGTATCTCAAATTCGGCCTCACAACACCTCAGAACTTTTGTTTCTTTTTTATTTGAATTCTACGCCCAAAATTGCCCAGTTCTTTTGTACTCGCACATAATGGAAATGGAACTTTTATACCTCAAAACCTAGAATATTAATAATTTTTCACCTAATAAAATCACGTATATAGTAAACGGGACCAGATAAATTTGAAGTAGCTTCAGGTTACTGTAACTATCATCGGAATCACGTATAAAACATTTAAATTTTCTGAGACTGCATATGTGAATGTGAAAAAAGGTCTAGAACAGCCTAGAAAAGAATTCAAGCTCATTCTGTCCCGTTTTCGAGATGTCAGCTATAATGAGGAAGTTTAAGTAAAGTGACGAAATTACGCTACCCAGAAGTTTCTTATTTGAAGAACTATCTCGTTGGAGCGCGAGACTGAGCGATGACGTCACATGACACCAACTACCAAAGCGAAGAAAAAAATGGTGCAGGGTAATGAGAAGTGACAATGACGATAAAATTGCCTCTTCCGGAAATATTGTACTGCTGTAAATATCGTTGCGATGTTAGTAGGTATCTATAGTTAATATGGTTAAAAGGATCAATATAAATATTGGTGTATATGCTTATTATTATGAATAAATAACCTTTGAGCATTATCGACAAATTTTTTGCAAACAGGCGTCATACTGGATCTGCCATTTACATTTTTTAAGAATCGATATTTAATTCATTATTATCTTAAAGACACTTGAATCTTAATTTTAATTTTTGCACACGTAGCCGCCATATTAGAACCCCTATTTTTATTTTTGAACAATCGATATCTAGTTCGTTATTAGCGACCCTGAAAAAAGATCTAAGGCTAAATTTGAGCTCAATCAATTTTTTTTTTGTTTTGTTTAGATGTGCACTATATTACATCCGTCATGTTGGTCTTTGATAAATGCATATCATATTCGTTCGCGATCTGGAAAATGTATACAGATTTCTGTGTTGGGTGCTGTATACAGTATACAGCACCCAACACAGAAAATGTCATCAAGTTATCGGAATAATTCTTTCAGATTTGTGAAAGATACCAGTTATACAGGGTGTAAACGTTATGATAGTCATTATTTAAATGGGTTATAGGGGGGGTTAAAAGAAGCAAAAAGTTTCATATAACATGAAGGTCAAAACGGCATTTTTTTAGAGAAAAGCGACTTTAAAGTAAAATAAAATCTGACAACGCCGCAATGCCAGTCGCAAATTACGACGGAACGCAGTGTAAATAAAGATGGAGTTTGTTATTTTTGCCTCTTAGGTATTTCATTATTTGATAAATACTCGTAAAATACAAAAAATTAAAAAAAAAACGGACCACTAACTGTCTCAGCGCTTCACCGGGTGTGTGAAAGTTTATTGAACGTATTAAAAAATCCACTTATAAATAGGGAACACAATTTTGATACATTGTTTTTCTTTTTAAAACCCACACTACACTTTTTTGTATTTAAAGGTGTTCAAAATGTCGTCCTCCACTTTCCACACAAGCTTCATTACGACATTACGACGAACCCAGTTTCTTCTTACTCTAGGTCCTCGAAGTTGTCCATTTATTATTTCAGCCGCATTAAATTTTTTTTCGCGAAGTTGTGCTTCAGTTGTTATTGGACCAGCCCCATAAACCATCCGTTCAAGTTCTCCCCAATACCAGAAATCCATCGGATTGAGGTCAGGAGATCTTGCTGGCCATTTTGGAGTATCAGGAGCATTTCGACCGATCCAGCGATTTGTATAATGTTCGTTCAAATACTGAATGACGCCTCTAAAAATGTGTGGTGGTGCCCCGTCATGAAGAAACCACAAATTCTGTCTCCGTTGTAATGGCATGTGGTCTGAGGTCTGTTCCAAAAGTCCTGGTAGGTTATTGGCTAGAAAGCTAAGGTATCCTTCTCCTGACAACTTTGGGAGTAACTTGAAAGGGCCAATTACCTGATCGTCAAGAATACCCGACCAAATATTTGTTTTAAAACGTTGTTGGAAATAACCTTCACGAATGGTATTAGGATTATCTTAGGCCCACGTGTGAGTATTATGGAAATTTAATATCCCGTCTCGCGTAAAAGTACATTCGTCCATCGCCAGAATGTTTTTAGAAACATCCGGATTTTCAATGTTTTTGTGCAAAAACCACTGACAGAATGTTAGTCTGCGAGGATAGTCTTCTGGTTACAAGTCGTGCACTCGTTGTACATGGTAGGGATAAAGTAAATTGTCCCGTAGGATTCTATAGACTATGGTATGCGATAGTCCTACGCGGCGGCCCAATTCCCGAGTGCTGATATCTGCATTGATTTCCACGATATTTAAAATTTGTTCCTCCTGTTCTACAGTAACCTGTGTTTCACGAGTGCGAAGATTAGTGGGCTGAACACTTTCTGTATCTCGAAGTATTTGGCACACTTGCACAAATGTCCTTCTGTCTAGGTGTACCCGTTGGCGAAATCTGTCGCGATTTGAGCTGCAACATGTCGGCGAACTCTTGATTCGAGAACATTGTAAATAAACACGATAACTAACCACTGTTACCGTTTGCGAGTGATTGCCGGTTCGATAAGAGTGATGAAAGACCAACGCGCCGTTGTCATGTGTGTTTTAAATATTTAATTTAATGAAACTTACTGACTACAAATTTTGGCTTAACTTAGAAAAACTTAATGCCATTTATTTGTTAATTACCCAATTTAAAAACGTTTTAGATTAGATAATAAAAATTAGTAAGATTGTGGTTGTGGTCGATATAAAGCACTTAAAGTTGTAAACTATAAAGCCATTTAGACAAAAATCTATTGACTTTTGGACCATGAGTCATATGAACTTTTTGACTTGTTTTGACCCCCCCTATTAACCATTTGAATAATGACTACCATAACGTATATGCAAGTGAAACTAGCAGTATTTTCGACTATAGGAAACTTCCTAATTCCAATTATTCTAAAACGTTTAATTTTCTTCCGTGGACAATCTTTTCACACTCGGTTACTCCACCAAGCCTTTAACAAGTATCAGAAAATACTGTCACGCATTCTCACACGCATTGAATCTTTCAGCTATAGTTCACAGCAGTTTGAAGAAAAGGACAGCCCCTTTACCCCCTCCGAGTAGTGCAATGCAGTACGGCACTCTGCCTAGCAGCCACAGCAGAACTCCTTCAGACCCGATTGCTGCCGGATATCATACTCTAAGTCACACGCACAAGCGTTCGCCTAGTAGCGATTCAAGTTCTGGAAGATCTGTGATACCCATAGGTAGGTTGGAATACAGCATTAGGTTGGCTATCTTCAGATAGACTACTTCAATCAATGATTGGATTTGGGGCAAATAGTTAAAAGGGCATGAGCCAATTTTTTCGACTAGGGTGGCTAGGGAGGCTAGGATCCTTGGTAATAAAGCCTCAAGTAGATTTTGTCTAAGTCGAAAAACTTGACTTATGTCCTTTTAGCAATATAGGGTGACTGAAAGTTCTGGAATCCCACGATAATTTGTGAACTAATGATATGAAAAACTAAATCCTGTCAACAAAAGACGTTCAGATATGGTCTTGACCATTCCTAAATGTCGACCTTAGGAGGTCATGGTCAAGGTCAAACCCAGGTGCGGCGATATAACTTGAAAACCAGTCGTCGTATAAGGAAACTACCGAGACATTATTTTCATGATATCTCCCCGGATATTCAATGGTGACCTTGGATATGACATTAATTATGATGACCTTCAAGGTCATGTGAAGGTCAACTCGATTTTTGTGGCCAACGAACAATCCTCCAAAGAACAGTGAAGTCAGTTTATCTGGTTATTACTGAATATCAAGAAATTGAGGTAAACTTGCGTTTGACCTTGATGGTCAATTCCAAGGTCAAGTTCCAAAAATGGTCAAGAACATACTCGAACACAAAATTTTCCCTATTCTCCACTTCCGCGGTCAAAAGTATAGAGTCCGATCAAAAAGAGTTGTCCTTTGAATGACCTTGAATGGTCAGATCCAAGGTCACCATTGTATATCTGGGAAAAAAACAAGAAAATGATGTTTCCAGTAGTTTCCGTCTATACGACTATTGACTTTCAAGTTATATCACCGTACCTGGGTTTGACTGTGACCTCCTAAGGTCAAAATTTAAGAATGATCTAGGCTTCTAGGCCATACTTGAACGTAATATTTTTCGTTCTTTTTATTTACGGGGTAAAAATGGGGGTTCTGTTTAAAAAAATCGACTTGACCTTCAAATGACCGTGAAGGTCATATTTAAGGTCACATTTGGATAGCTGGGAAAAACTCCGATCAATCACAGGGCTTCGTTTTTTCCTACCACCCACAAATTATCGTGGGGTTGCGAAACTTTTCAGACAGCCTGTATAGGTTAATTGTAGAGTGGTGGGAGTGGAGAATAGAGATCAAGCCTTCGTAAGATTGATTTTGATTGTTTGCAGGAAGTAAACTAGTCATGCCAGATTGCAAGAATTCAGATAAGTTTGGATCAGTGAGGAGGCCTCAGAATCCCCCCCCACCTGCTCCTCCAAATTCGTCTACAAATCGAATGTCTAATGGGAGGTCAACTGAAAGCATATCCTCAATGGCGTCTGATGTGGATGTTACCGCAATGGCACACAATCCTGTACCGCCTCCAAGAAGGGTGAGCATTATTTCATCTGTTACTTGAGAGTCTTGAATGTCCGGGAGAATGTTTTGTTTTGTTATACGTGGTATTGCATAATCTTGTCAGTAAAACTGCACGTCAAATTCAGCACGGCAACATATGAAAGATGTCAGAAGCTTCATTTTGTTTCTTCTGGAAAAATCCACATACAAGATTATTGAAAAAAATTCCTAGCTGCGCAAGAATGTCCTCTCCACATCTCCACGAAAGGAAGTATCCCGCGCTTCATTCGTTTACGCTGAAACATTTAACTTTTAGGATATGCGAATATTTAAGGGTGTGAATCTACATGAAAAATTAATGTTAGTTTGCTTTATAAACTATGGTCCAAAAATGTTTCCTTACAAAAACTCGGGGTGTTGAAGTTTTAGGAAAAAAAAAAATAGAAATTAATTAATATTTTCAGAACCGCGTCAGATATTTCACTGATGTTTAGCACGTAGTGAAAGTTAATAAAGTTGCATATTTTTTAATGCAAAAATAATTTTTAGCTTTAACAGTGGCGTGCGTACAGGTATTGACTTCGATATTTAAAAAAAAAAATTCCTTCGATACGCTATTTTTGAGTAAAAAAATTAAAACTGTTCTATTGTCTAACTTGCAAAATTATTATTAATTTAATTGTAAAAATTAAACACATTAGGGGTAATGAACAACAACAACTGACAAGATAAAACCAACGAAATGATTACAAAAATTGTTGAAAATGGCCCCCTTCACTTAGTATGCATGCTTCCGCCCTCCTTCTCATGGAATTGCGCACTCGTTGAAATATCCCTGGAGTGTTTTTTATTCTATCACAAGCTGCAACTATTCTTTCTCTTAATTCCTCTACAGTGTTAATGGGACTTGTGTCCACTAGTGTCTTAAGATAGCCCCACAAAAAGAAATCTAAACTGTTGAGATCTGGGGACATTTGGTGGCCATTCTTGGGGCCCACCGCGGTCAATCCAACGATTTGGATAAACAGTTTGTAAATAATTACGAACCGCTACACTGAAATGCGCCGATGCACCATCATGCATGTACCACATATTGTGTCTTATTACTAACAGAACATCATCAAGCAGCAAAGGCAACTGTTATTGAAGAAAATTGAGGTGAGTCTGTCCGTCAAGTCGTCCCGGCAAGAAGAATGGACCGATAAAGTGGTTGTCAATAATTCCGGCCCATACGTCAACCGAAAATTGGTGTTGGAAATGGGTTTCGGTTACGGCATAGGGATTTTCTTCTGCTCACAAATTTTTATTGTGGAAATTCTGAATGGCATTTCGAGACAAATTAGCTTCGTCCGTGAACAGAATCATTGATTCAAATTGCGGATTTGGTGTAATTTTTTGAAGATACCACTGACAAAAGGTCACACGCCTTGGAAAATCAATGGGAAGTAATCCCTGTACTCTTAGAATATGGTAAGGATATAACAAAAAAACCACTAAAATTCTCCAAACAATTTGATGGCAAATATTTAAGTGTCTAGTGATCTTCCTCGTACCCACTTCGACTTCGTGCAGTACTGCTTCCTCAATTTCAGGTGTTCTCGCATTTAGAGGTCTACCTTCAGATGTTCCTTTTCGCACAGAACCAGTTTCAACAAGACTACGATGAATATTAGAACAGGTTCGACTGTCTGGCGAAGCACGATCGGGATATCTCTGCTGATAAGTCCGTCTGGCTTGCTCAGCATTACCGTCGGCAAGGCCATATACGTAATGCATTTCCGCCATTTCTGCATTTCAATAATTCACCATTATTATCAAGATTGTAAAAACTAAATAATGAAAAAGATGTCACAGCGAACAGATTTGAATAACAGAGACTTGTCAGATGTCAAAAGCCAGTGACATATTCCAGAGCAACTAGATATTTATTGCTAAATCGCATTTTTCAATTATTACATTAATTTTCTCGGACAATAGAACGGCTTTTATTTTTTACTCAAAAATGCCGCATCGAAGGAAAACAGTTTTAAATTGAACGGGGAATTCAAAAATAATTTTTGTTTGGCAAAAAACCATTGGCGTATCATTTTTTTCTTAAAAAATATCGAAGTCAATACCCGTACGCACGCTAGTGTTAAAGCTAAAAAATATTTTTGCATTGAAAAAATGCAACTTTATTAACTTTCACTACGTACTAAATATCAGTGAAATATATGAAGCGGTTCTGAGAATATTAATTAATTTCCATTTTTTTCCTAAAACTTCAACACTCCGAGTTTTTGTAAGGAAACATTTTTGGACCATAGTTTATAAAGCAAGCTCACATTAATTTTTCATGTAGATTCACACCCTTAAATATTCGCATATAATTAAGGAACACCCTGTATATATCAGATTTTGCTGAGTAACCTTTTCAAGTTAGATGAAACGCCTTTTTGCATATATTGAAATAATTGTGAACTATTTGTGTAAGTGGGCCAAAAAAGTGATAATTCTTGCAAAATAAGATCCTAATTGGCTACTGACCTTCTATTAAATAAACCATAACGTCATTTCAATGCGCTGGGGACTGCCTAATGCATCACCCTTACATTACGTATGTATGAACAGGCAGTTTAATAAATCCAAAATGTTCTGTTATACGTGGGCTTAATTGTGACCCATCAAGTCTGTATGCTTAGCCAAAAAACGTACGCCACATTGCATATTTTGTGAATGCGTTTTCGTGTAAATGACTATGTAACTGATTGTTTTATGAGATGATAAAACATACTGAAATTAATGTTGCATGCTTGTTATGGTTTTCAGAAGAGAAAATACCGTTTGGATAGTTTAACAAGTTATACAGAGGATGAGGTTTCAAGTCTGGTAATAGTGTGTTTCGTGTTTGCAAACATGTTCTAATACTTATTGTGTTGAACTTTGGAATGCTAACTCGCTTTTTCTTGTAACCATTAACAATACCAGAATGTGACGCATTTTTATCCCATTGCTGGATGATTTGAATCAGTTTATATAGATTCTGTGCTTCTCCTAGAAAATATGTATTTGGCTTTCTCAAATGGACAAAGTTAACATTTATGCTTTCAAGATGGTCCATAATGATGGTGCCAAAAATCAAATCAAGAGTAAGGTGTATAAATAAAGTAATACTGACGTCTATAGGAGAGTTGTCTTTCGTGTATAAGGTCAAAACGTAGGTATTTTGCTATTTCAAATAGGGATAGAAATACTTTACTAAGGTATATTTGGATGAGTATGGTTATTTTCATGCGTTGAATCTAGGATTGCTTGTACCTTACACTCTGTACAAAGGGTGCTATAAACGTTTTGCAATACAGCTTTATTTATTGACTTCGTTCAGATTAATTTCCACCAAATTTAATACACTTCTCCATCCGCCACAACCAGTCCTTAAACCAGCTCTGCCAAGTTTCACTCGGGGAGGTACCAAGTGGCGATTCTTGACTTTGGCCGCAGGTTTTTCATAGACTTTATGAATTTAGGCAGGCACTGTTCCATGTACGCCTTAGCTGCGACTATCATCTGGGTGTCCAAAACGACACGATCCACAATCCCGCTCGATTTGAAAAATACAGCTATCATTTTTTTCTTAACAGGTCGGGATTTTCTGACAGCTACGGGTGTGTCCTCAAACTTTGTTTTGGACCTTGGTCGGCACATCGAAATAATAGAGCCAAGTCTCGTCACCGTCACGATGCTGTTCACATACACGTACCGAGATTCCCCTTTATCAGACATTTTCAGCATCTTTCGAAGTTACCTAAATACATTTAGAAAACGATTTCATACTTCATTGCTAGATAAACAAATGCGTTATTAGTAGAAAAACTAAATTCCTTATTTTTACATTATCTGCAATGAACACAATACAAGTCTGAATATAAGCATTTTTTTATGAGGGACAAACATATGTAGAAAAATTCTTTTCAACATTAGTTTAGTACAGTTTCGTGTCAGAAGAGCATTAGTTTGTGTTCATCAAGTATTGTTGAACAAGTTGAATGATTTTAAGACCATGCCGCATGATCCAGAAATTCTTTCGATGTGAAAACTAAGATCATTGAGTTATACACCTACAAAGATGGTCAACGTCAAGTCGACATTGGCAAAAATTTGAAGCTGAAGCGTAAAGCAGTTTGGGCAATATTGAACAAATATAAACAAAAAGGTATCTTGGAAGCCTCTAAGAGAAATGGTCGGCCGAGAAAACTGAGTGCTAGATCAGTTAGATTAATAAAAGTAATTTCGTCCAAAGATCCGTTTAAAACCTTAAGTCAAATAAAAGCCTAAATCGAGACAAAAGGAATTGTCAGTATTTCTACGAAAACTATAAGTAGAAGATTAAATGATTTGAAGTTATTTGCACGTCGCCCGAGTAAGAAGCCGCTAATCTCGAGGAAAAACCGTAAGGACCGATTACAATTTGCACGGTTGCATCTTGATTGGAGCATCTGTGACTGGAAGAGGGTATGTTTCAGTGACGAATCCAAGTTCAATATGTTTGGATCAGATGGTGTTCATTACGTTAGACGTCCTAGCGGACAAAGATTGAACCCCAAGTACACTTTGCCCACTGTCAAACATGGAGGCAGGTCTGTTATGGTTTGGGGATGCTTTTCGGGGTTTGGGATGGGACCTTTACATAGAATAGATGGCATTACGGATAAGTTTGTATACACAGACATATTAAAGCATGTCATGTTACCATATATGCCCTTAAAATCAATCTTCCAGCAAGACAATGACCCGAAGCACACTTCAAATCTCGCAAAGAAATCCTTTCTGGATGAAAAAATACCAGTTCTCAAATGGCCTTCACAGTCTCACGATACAAACCCCATTGAAAATCTATGGGAATACTTAGATAAGCAAATACGAGATAAAAATTATTCAAACAAAGATGAACTTTTTGCCGCTTTAGAGCAAAAGTGGAGACAGATTGATGAATCTCATATCAAGAAACTTCTACAATCTGTGCCGAGACGATGCCAGGCGGTGATTGATAATAATGGTTATGCTACAAAATATTAACACAAACATGGTTGGTTTTCTATAATTCATTGAACGTTGCTTCTTTTTTCTATAATTGTTTTGCTTTGTCTATATATTTTTGTCCTTTACAGTTCCAGTTTTTTCAATTAATTTTTTATTGAATTGAGTCTAATGAATTTATTTATGTATAAGTGAGTATTATGCTATAACGAATTATGTATACAGGTTGGTACATTAATAAAACAAGTTAAAAAAGAAATACAGCACAATATTAATTTGTCTATATACTTTTGTCCATTACTGCTCTCGGCTACTATGCACCTATATACGTAGTCGTGCCATAAGTTCTGTCCCATGATAATCTCATGATAAAAATGAAACAAGATAAGATATATTTATATGAAAGATATTATTTATTCGACAACATTTTTAGAATTCATAATCAAACAGTTTTATTCAAAATGTCCCCCCTTGGCCTTCACACACTGCTTCAATCTCGCGGGCCACTCATCTATCACTGCACGCACAGCTTCCAAAGGAATAGCTGCCGCTGATCGGATCAAATCCGCTTTCAGGGACTCGATATTACGGTGGGCTTTGGAGCAGGCCAACTGCTCTAGCAGGTCCCACAACTTGTAGTCTAAAGGATTGAGGTCCGGACTCCCTGAGGGCCAATCTTCCGCAGCAATGAACTCTGGCACATTGCTTTCCAGCCAGCGCTGCGTACTCTTAGCCTTGTGAGCGGGGGCGGAATCCTGCTGGTAGACCCAGTGTTGGTTGGCAAACAATGTACCACTTAAAGGCTTGACGATAGGATCCAGTATGTCGCTCTGATAGTTTGCCGCTTTTGTTTTCACGCCCTGTTTACAGAAATGGAGCTGAGTGACCCCTTCGTAGGACACCCCCCACCAAACCATGACTGACGCAGGGTGGTGGCCTCTCTCAACTCTCGGAATGATCTCCGAAGCTTCCTGTGAACTCCTTGCATACACTTTGTCATTTTGTCGGTTGAATTTTTCTTCTATGGTGAAGATTTTCTCATCCGTGAACAAAATCTTTCGGAATCCCCCAGCTGCGTACCTCTCCAAGAGCTTCTTGGATCTTGTCGCCCTGATGTGTCGCAAGGTGGCCGTAAGTCGCTGGCCCGTACGTCTCCGGTAAGCCCCTAGCCCTAGGTCTTGTTTAATGATGCGCGACATCGTCCGGACAGGAATCTTCATTTCCCTGGATAGGATCTTCTGCTTCCGGAGTGGATTCCTTTGAATCCTGGCTTTTACGGCTTTGATGGCTGCTGGAGTCCTTACTTGACGAGGTCTTCCGCTTCTTGGCCTGTCATCAACAGAGGACGTCTCATTGTACCGCTGAATGGTCCTAGACACAAATTTACGCGATATTTGAAGGCCGCGTAAGAGTTCAAAAATCTGACTAGCACTGTGATTACACTTATGTAAAGCTATCACTGCAATACGGTTCTCTGCCTTGCCCCACTCCATCGTTATGCTTCGAGAGATCAATACAAACTGAGGTATATGTAATTACCGAAAAGCGCTTAATCAACTGACACCACAATGTAAACAATCGGACAAGTATTAACAGGTCTACACTTGTTTGAAAACGAGGGACAGAACTTATGGCATGACTACGTAGACATGTCTCAACATGTAGTAACATGCAGCCTCTTGCGTCCGTTTGTTAAGTTATATTGCAAAACTTTTATAGTACCCTTTGTACATTACACTTTGTATATTGATACAAACTATTCAATGTTTCAGGCATCAGACTCGCCGCCTCACAGAGTTTCATCTAGTCCAATTTCAACGAGTTCCTTGTGCTCTCCCCGATCCATGCCTAGTGGAAGGCTCTCCTACACATCAAACGGTAACACGACATTGAGGAGGTGCAAAGCACTCTATGACTGCGCAGCAGACAACGACGACGAACTATCCTTCCAGGAAGGAGAGATCATCATCGTCATCAACGAGCACACTGATGATGATAATTGGATGGAGGGCATGGTGGAAAATGATCCAGAACGTACTGGGATGTTCCCTATAAGTTTTGTTCACATGCTGCCCGATTAGTAACCGCCTGGTAACGTTAGATTTGTTTAAAGGTCACTATGAAGCGTTTTCTTCATTAGCAAGAGTAGCAAGTTTTTAGGTGAAGTATGGAGGTTATGAGAACCTGAGCTAGTACCCTTTGAAAACAGTTGTTTTCATTGCCGCGTATAGTAGTCGAGAGTTTTCGAATTTCTTTCTTCAATGGAACGTCTCATATTCTGTTACATATTCAGATAGATCCTTCCGAAGAATTTATATAGTCTACAGTACGTATATTCACTTACTTTTGGTCCGTTCTTTGAACGACTGTATAAATATCTTTGGACCTGAAGGAGTTCGTTCTTGAGTTGTCAACTGTGAACAGTGTCACCTTCTGCAGTTTTTGCTTGTAGTATAATCATATTAGACGAAAATACCCCTGGTTTGCGAAATCATTGAAGAGGTTAGAATAAAAAGGGTACAAGTGCATTTTTAACATACAGGGTGCGTCATCTCTTACTTTTTTTCTATTTGAAAAATCAACACGCTTTTTACGAGGTGAAATCGATTGTTTTTTATTGATAAATGAAGTTTATGCCATTTATGTATAAAAATTAAAATCAGTCATGTGACCACCGCGGCTTCGTTTACAGGCCAACATCCTAACATCAAAATGTTCAATGACTTTTCCCAGACTAATCGGGTCTATGGCCACAATTTCAGTCCGAATATTGAGCTTCAGGTCTTGAATTGTCCGGGGACCATTCGCATACACTTTTCCTTTCAAAAATCCCCAAAGAAGAGGTCAAGAGGTGTTAAATCGCACGATCTCGGGGCCAACTGACGTTTGAATTTCGTGAAATTATGCGGTCTTGAAATTTCGTGGGCAATAAGGCGATTGTTTGGCGAGATGTGTGAGCCGTTGCTCGGTCTTGATGAAACCAAAGATCGTCGGCACCAATGCCATCCAATTGTGGCCACAAAAAGTCTGTTAACATGGCGCGATAACGTTCCCCGTTGACGGTAATGGCCTTTTCTTCGGCATCTTCAAAGAAGAATGTTCCAACGATGCTACCAGCCCATAATCCGCACCAAACAGTCACTTTTTCAGGATGGAGAGGTTGTTCATGATATTGGTGTGAATTTTCAGCCCCCCAGAATCTGCAATTTTGCTTATAAATAATTTTTTAGTACAAGGTCCAAAACATACCTGTGCGAAGTTATCATTCACTCTTTCGGCTAGTGCGTAAACCATTTTGGAAGTAAAATCTGCATGAATAAATTAATTTTCACTATCCCAAGAGTGTCACAAAGGTAGACAGCAAATTAGATTCTTTCTTTCCCTCAGCAACAAATAATTAAACAGGTGTAACAGTAAATACAGTTCGCCTAGGATATCTGTGTTGACGAAAAGAATGCGGAAAAAAATCGGGTTGTTATTTGGTTGTTACCACGTCTAATCTTCCGAATTGCTGTTTATGTTGGTAGTTTCCCTTTTAAATTATAAACGAATTGTAGATTTGGAAAACCCTAACGAGCAACATTTTGAACGCTTATTGAAATAAAAACTGATATTTTCGTGTTTCTGTTTTCCATCTGAATAAATTAAGATAAATAAAGATTTTTCTAATTTTCTCGAAAACGAATCGACTGATTTTAAAAAAACAAACGTCAAAATAAAGGACTTCGAAAGACCTTTCAAACAAGTTATTACTCGATACCTCTTGTCATTTACAATTTTTAAGGGAATGACCCTGGGGGGCAGAGGGTGAAGTAGTTTTTGGTTAAAAAGTTATCCCCCTTCCGATAAATCCGTGGTGGGAAGTTTTCAAATGAACACCCTGTATAGTAGAAAACTGCCTCCAACGCTCTTGAATGAAGAAAGCGTTTGCTAGGGTCTATCACCTTATTGCGAAATATTTGATCAGATGTTATAGATTAAAATGTCAGTGTAGTTGTGATGTAGAAAGTAATGTCAACGTATTGCCATACTAACACTATGAAGTCTTAATTGTTGTTGACCCACAGAGATACTTAAATCTAGATATGTGTGTTGAATTATATTTTTGCAGCATGAAGTTATAATATTGAAGTCTACAATTTTATCAGTTTGTGCCATTCTGAAAATAAAAGGTATTTATCATCAGGTACACACAAGTATAACTTTCTAAATGTTCACTAATATGAAGATTAGATAGATTGAAAGATATATAGATGTGTAAATAAGAAAAACTATAATATATAAAAATAGCGAAATATATGAAATATATAATCAACACTTCTGAGGTTTCTCATACAAAATGTTATCATACTGATGTTACTGAAGTGAAGTACAAGTATCAAACAGCATAAGATGCGTGATGGCAGTGGTAACCGCAACAATGTATGGCAAAGGTAACAAGATTATGTAAATATACAGGGTGTCCAGTAAGTACCACGACAAACTTAAGAAGAAGGTAGGCTTTGGACTGACCTCTCAGATAACAAAAACTTATCTATATAAAAGCGTCACCGTTTTTGAGATATTGAATTTTTTCTTAAATTTTAAAAAAACTAACCTTTTCATCTGTGGTCTTTAGCTGCATGTACGAATAAGGTTATAACGGGTGCTTTTTTTAGAGGTATAGAACTTTAAATTGCAATAAAACAACGATGGATTATTCGATTGACATGCATTTTTTTTTATTCGAAAGATAATCTTGTGGCATTACATTTTAAATATGACTTCTGGTATATGACTGCCACGGCTGGATCGGATCTCTTCCAATCTGGACGTCCAATTTTCGATGACTTTCCAACATTTGTGGGCGTATATCGGCAATAACATGGCGAATGTTGTCTTCCAAATGGTCAAGCGTTTGTGGCTTATCCGCATAGACCAATGACTTTACATAGCCCCACAGAAAATAGTCTAGCGGTGTTAAATCACAAGATCTTGGAGGCCAATTCACAGGATCAAAACGTGAAATTAGGCGATCACCAAACGTGTCTTTCAATAAATCGATTGTAGCACAAGTGTGACATGTTGCGCCGTCTTGTTGGGATCATAGCTCCTGGACATCATGATTGTTCAATTGAGGAATGAAAAAGTTAGTAATCATGGCTCTATACCGATCACCATTGACTATAACATTCTGGCCATCATCGTTTTTGAAGAAGTACGGACCAATGATTCTACCAGTCCATAAAGCGTACCAAACAGTCAGTTTTTCTGGATGTAATGGTGTTTCGAGATAGACTTGAAGATTAGCTTCACTCCAGATGCGGCAGTTTTGTTTGTTGACGTACCCATTCACCCAGAAGTGCGCTTCATCGCTAAACAAAATTCGCTTATGAAAATCGGGAACAACGGCAATCTCGTTTTGGGTCCATTCAACGAATCTACGCCTTGTTTAATGATCGTTTGGCTTCAATTTTTGGACGAGTTGGATTTTGTAAGCACGCAAACCAAGATCCTTCCGCAAAATCGAATTAACTGCTCTGATGGACGATTTTGTCGAAGATAAAATGGACATAGTGCGCGATACGTATTCCGAACAGAACCATTATTTTCAAAGTAAAACTGCACAATTTGCAAGCGTTTTTCAGGCGTGAGTCTATCCATGATGAATTGCCAAACCAAAGTGTGAATAAATCACTTGACAGCTGTCAAATCGGTCGCCATCTTCAAAAGTTAAACTTAAAGTTCTATACCTCGAAAAAAAACTCATGTTACTTTGTCGATTTTTTCTATAAAATACTTCTAGATAGTTTCTTTATCATATACAAATGCAATGTAGTTAAAAGATATTAAGGAACCATGATCAAATAAGGACTATTTTGGGATTTATAAGCTTCTGATATTTTTTCCTCAAGTTTGACCATCTTTGGTGAAACAAAAATGTACTGGGCTATAACTGCATTATATTGAATAAAAAGATTGCTCATTGAATACAGATTTCAGAAAGGCACCACTTACTATTTGGAATAGAAAAAAGTGATAGCTGCTTTTGTAAGTGTGACACACACTACAGTGTAATTATTGGATTTAAATTCAAGTTGCACTGGTTACCGATCAGTGATGCTAAATATTATTATTACCTGCTCCTGATATGATTTTATGAAAGTTGAGGAAACAATATCAGAAGGTTATAAATCCCAAAACAGTCCCTATTTTGTCATAGTTCCTTAACATCTTTTAACTACTTGCATTTGTATATGATAAAGCAACAATCAGAAATATTTTATAGAAAAAATGAACAAAGTATAACCTGATTTGTACATGCAGCTAAGGACCACAGATGAAAAGGTTATTTTTTTAAAATTTAAGAAAAAATTCAATGAGTGTATATGATCCCGACGATTTTTCAGGTGCGAATACGGTTTGTAGCACATATTACGTAACACTGAGCTCTGCGTTAGATGGCAACAACGTTAACTTATGTCAGACTGTGGCGCCACCTGTTTGTCTGGAGACCAGGTTATAAAAATAAGGAATGTCAGGAATGTGCCGGGGACTTTGTTTACAATTTGAATTTTGATAAAAATGATGTTACCGATATTGTAGAATTATTTCATGAAGGCATGATCATAAAAAAACCCAATATCTCTTTCAAAAGCTTTGCTAGTAATACGTTTAAAGGTAATAAAGAAATATGCTGAATCTTAAGCAAAAATACATTTATTTTTTCAACAAATGTCATGCTTTACACTTATTTTTTTCACAGTGGCTAAACATTGATGATAACATCAGAAACAATACAGAAAATACACTAATGTAGCTTATGCAGTCTTTTTAAATAAGCTGGTAACCTTTGGGTAGTTTGCTAGTTCTTTCGATTGAATTCCAAAAAACACGTTTTCTCATTCTTTGTTGTCGAATAAAATGTTTTCCCACAAAAATTGATGTACCCACTTTATGGGTCCACGTTTCAGATACCCCCTTGAACAACTTGAATCAATAATGAATCTAGACGATAACGAAAACAAACGTTAAGGTTTTACGGTTTTTGACTAGAATATCCCGGCAAACGTGCCGGTAATGCAGCTCCTGGATTATGCCTGGACAGGATTACCTTGACATTGCCAGTTCGCCCATAAGACGTTTCACTCCCGTGGTTTGCGATAGGATTTCAATATCTTCTACTGCATCACGTATCTTGTGCTCTGGAAACTTTGTAATTCTGCCATGTGATTCAGCCATCCAGTGTTCAATATACAATCATAAAAGTAACACTAAATAGAGTAGCTTGGTGGCTTAGAAGTAGCTTTAAATGGTAGGTTTTTGTTTCTTGAATGTGCATATTATCCACTATACACAAAAGCCATGTCATGTATAGTGCATTTGCACTTGGTATTGTTCATGAGCTTATAATGCTGCATAGAAATTACAGGGTACGTCAGAAAGAACGCATGTTTTTTTAATGAGTAGTACAGTCAAAATAAGTATGGGAAAAATATTTTATCATATGAAAATACTCAGAAATACATGCCATTTTTTTGAGCAAAACAAAATTTACGTTCTAAAAACTATGTCGGCCATATGGCGCCCTTGAGCCGAAATGCAGGAATCAAGCCTCTCCCGAAATGAGCCCATTGCGTCGGCCAGCATCCGTGCAGGAATTTCGGTTACTTTTCTTCTCCTTGAAATCGACGAGGTTTAGTAAACTTTTGACCCATAAAAAAAATCACACTTTGACAGATCCGGGGAGCGAGGGGGCCATGGAATATCGCCATGACGTGAAATGAGACATCCTGGGAATTTTTGCCGAAGAAGTTCCATCGAAGTGCGAGATGTGTTGGAAGCAGACGCAAACGTCGACGTCGAAGTTCCGGAAAAAAAAGTTGTTCAGCATGTGGATGTAACGCTCTGAACTCACAGTAGTCGTTTCTCCATCATCCTCAAAAAAATAAGGGCCAATAATCATAGTTGGGCCTACTGCACATCAAACTGTAACTTTCAGGGTATGCAGGGGGTGCTCATGCAACTGTGGAGACAAATATCGACAATTTTGTTTATTACTCATAAACAACGTCATGTCATTGTTATCCAACTGTTCAATCATGAGCTGTGCAAAATTAACAAGTTGTGCATAATCCCCTGGCAACAGTTGTTGACAAACTTTGATTTTGTAAGGATGGAACACTGAATCCTTCTTCAAGATGCGACGTACAGAGGACGGAACGATTCGGGCTCTGCAGCGTGTCGACTCTCACTCTGTCTACGTTTTCGGGGGTTCTAACAGTACGGTTTCGCACTGGCGGTATTTTCTTCATCACATTACCCGGTGTGTTGAATGCTTCCACCCATCTCAAAATGGTGTTACGGTCTGGTACGAACGACAGACTCGCCATTTTGAAAGTACAGTGAACACACGATGCTCAACGTTCCAAACCATCTTGCCAACTGAAACGGCACTTCTCCCACTGTCCAACACGTCCTTCCCTACGATGTAGTACCCATTCGAAAAACATGCGTTCTTTCTGACGGACCTTGTAGTTGATACTTGCGAAAGCAAAGGTTATTATGGACTACCTCATCTTTGCAACATTTAAGGGGGAACTGTCAAGAATCACTTTTTGGGACATTTGGATGGTGCTATTATATGTAAAATCATGACTTTCGATTCATTTTAGAACACAAAAGACGTTATTTAAAGCTACTTTGGACCTTCCTCGCTAGGAGAGATGCGCATTTTTGTAAAATGACAGTTGTGGATGTTTCATTTTTATGGCCTCTTGTTCAGAGATCTGTTATGTGTGTTTAGAAATTGGCATTAGGTGTGGAATTTCCTACTCTAAGAAGGTCTAAGGTCCTTCTGTTTGATGGCATATATGTGTATGTACTGATGGAACAAAATTAGGGATCGAATAAGAATGGTAAATTTGTAGTGATTTAAAAAAAACTGTATTTTAGTAAAAAATGGTACAGAGGTTCTAAAAGAATATTGTCTAGTTTTTGGAAATATTAGCCATAAGATTTTTGAGTTTTCAGGTTCTACGCAATCCTGGGAAATAATGCGAAGAAAAAAAAGGCGTTTATTTTGTTCAGGTCCACAGACTGAAAAATGTTTTTCGCTAAACCATTAGACGAACTCAATACCCTGTTCATTCAGCATCCATTTGCTCGATACAACAACTGCTTTCCATAAGTGATTATTGATGATCTGGATTATCAAAGGTCACTCATTGAAAATTCGATGTCTCAGCGGAAGTGGTCGAATCATGGTTTTGAAAAGAGAAAAATGAAGCTGAATAAAGATGTAACGATTTAACGGAAAACATATTTCCATGTCCGTGGACCTACATAAAAAATAAAAAGTCTAGCATTTTTTTCTTCACAGTATTTCCTAGGATTGTGCTTGAATTTTCGAAATGCTTCACGTATAACCTAAATACGACTATTTTTTTCTGAAATAACGCACTTCAAAGATTCACTGAAAATTTACAATTTTTATTTGAACCCTTAATTTTTTCCATTAGTATATAATGTGTTCTACATAGCTTTCCTTGACCACACTAGTGACTAGAAGCCATTGTAGTCCGTGGAGCCATACACTCTTTTTATTTTAATTTATTTTAATATGTATATATTATTTTTCCATACAAGTCAACCAAGAAATTGTTCCTCTAGCACCTTCATACTTAGTACTACATCAAGCAGGTGTTGTTTTCGATAAATTAAGGGTAGAATGACTCCTTTGAACTCATCTATCAAAATCAAAACATTTTCATATAAGATGAGAAGTTTATTCAAGCGAATGATCGGTAAATACCGCAGTTATTCCCTGGTTCAGATACTTTTACGTTAAAAATTGAGCAAAACGATGTGCTTAAAATCGGTTGGTCTAGCCCGTCATTGGTGTCAAAATGCAGGAATGTTTTTGTTATTGAAATGCCCTTATAAAAAAAAATGAGAAAAAGCGAGCTGGTCCTGCTGGTAAGACGACGTTTGACCTACCCCAATATAGACCTTCATCCAAAGATATTTGCGCTATAGATCACGATGGAGAATAGTTATGCAAGACTTCAAAAATTAGTCGAATGCCTCAATGGCTCACAGATTTAAACACCATTCACTTCACATCCACAGAATAGAAGTCCAAGATTTTCAATTTATACAGGATTGGGCAGAAAGACTCCCGATTTCGAGAGCCGATAAAAGCTGAACTAATCAAGATATAGAAAAAAAAACTCTATTTTAGTAAAAACATATACAGTGCTTTTCTTTAATGCCCCCCCTTTGATTTTTTGCACGGATCAATTCAAAAAATTAAAACTTGAGGTAATGAAATTGATGCGTGGATACCATATTTTAGAGTAAAATTATATGAATGCGGGGGTCTTGTGGCACATCATTTTGAAGCTCGTGATGAGTACTTTATAACCCAAGAATAAAAGTCAATACCTTTACCTACTACAAAATGGTGGTACATTTAATAATTACCTGAATACATTGACATTTAACTTGATAACTCGAATAAATGCGTTGAGTTCAGTTTAGAAGATGCTGGAAATGGTTGCCTTGAACTTCTTGACACAATAACAGCCGGTAAATATAGTAACATCGATATTTCTTCAAATATTTGTTATTCTCAGCGGTATATCCAATATTGAAGCAGGTTCAGTTTCGTACACCTTTTGCTTCAAATAGCCCCATAAAAAATGCCTAAAGGTGTCAAATCTGGCGAGCCAGATGGCCATTCCACAGGACCTCGACGGCCAATCCAACGACCGGGGAAATTGTTATCTAAATAATTCCTAACTTGTCTGGAGTAGTGTGGTGGAGCACCATCTTGCTGGAATACAATATCAGTATCGAATTCATTAGGTTTCGCTTCGACGATTTTGGTGATTAGAGGGTCAATAGTATTTTCCAGCATATCCTGGTTAAAGTTTGTTCGATGAATAGAGGCCCCACAATATGATTTTCCAATATCCCAGCCCAAACGTTAATTTTTTGTGGATATTGAGTATGAGTTTCCTGGAAGACGTGAGGATTGGTAATAACGACAATTTCTCACCAATTATTTGAACTCGTTTTTCTTCCGGGATGGTCGGATGACTTGGGGGCTATTTGTTGTTTACACTACCAGTAGCTGTAATTTTAGATGCAAGTTCCCTTAAATATTTTCTACAGATAGGACCATTCGGGAAACGATCATTAAAAATCCTTTCGGTCTCATGAAAGTTACGCGTCGCACCATAAATAAAAATCGTTTCGATTTTTTCTCCCAATGGTCGAGAATTGACCATTTTAAAAATAGTTCAAACAGTATCTAGCACTAAAACTAAATAAGAATATGTTAACTGTACAATGATGTTTGTTTTCGTACTGATATTCTTGTCACTCCCGACAAAAAATAACAAAACAAGTTTTTATCGCCGTTGCTGTGGATACGGCAGGGAATTACAATTATTTGTAGAGATATGCGTGTTATTGGGTTTGTGTTCAAGTGATTATTAAATGTACATTAAAGAAAAGCACTGTATAATGTCATTTTAAGTCAATGCATTTTGCAAATGACATCACTCAAGTGTGCGCCTCCATTGTTGATACACTGAGTGAGCCTCTCCCGATAATTTTCCATCACTCTGCTGATCATGTCAAGCGGAATGACAGCAATATCCTGGATTAACGTCTCCTTGAGAGTGTCTAGATTTGGCGATGTTGGTACGCTTTTTTCTTCAGGTAGTCCCAAAGAAAAAAATCACATGGGATCAAAGAGAATGTCATTATCGGCGAACCTCGATTTCGAATAAACTCATCAACGCCGAAAGCGCGGTGCGGTTTCCAAATCGGGGAGGTCTTTCTGCCCCACCCTGTCATAGAAATCCATGTAAAAAATAAAAAACTGTGATCCTAACCACAGAGTTTGTTTCATTCAGGATGACAAATGACCAGTTGCATCTGGAGGGGCTATATAAATACCACGGTCATTTGAACTATCAAACGGTGATGTATATGGGCTACTTTATGACGTCATAGATTCATTAATCTATGACGTCGACTTGGTCATTACCAAGTCCGCTTAAACGGTGTTGGTAAATAACAATGATGATCCAATCGTGAATGGTAATTACCGGTCATTCCCTTGAATAAGAGTTTTTTCGACACGTGAGTTGTGAATAAATTTGTAATGTCATTTGCACGTTTTGAGATTTTACCCTAAATAACATCTGATTACTCAAGTAGTCGGTATATATAATAGCATGTTTGTGTGAATACTACGTTTTCATAATTTTTTTGTAATTGTTTATATTAATACTAATACCAAAGAGAAATTCTATCATCGTATTCAAATGGAATATATTGTATAAATGCCAGTGTATATATATTTATAATCTTTAGTTATTATTTTTTATCGTTTATCATGTACAAAAATAAGTTTGTAATGATTTACTGGTGGTTGATGGTAAGCGATATTTTAAATAATCTTTTAATCGGGTAAATGTATATTGTTTCTAAACATGTATTTTAATTGCATTTTTATTATACTCCGCCAGATTTTCTATTTATTTTGTAATTTCACCAGTATTAATGTCATTTAAGTAAATTATGTGTGTACAAAATATTTAATTGTAATCCCTGTATTTCTTTTAGTGTAGATGATTTTTGTAAGACTGAGTAAAATTAATTTTATTCGACAATCGTACTTTCCAAACATAGCTGAAATGTCCCCCTGAAGTGCACATAGGACAGAGTATATTTACAACTGTCATTTTCTTGCTTTTCATTGTTGCTCATTCTGCTACTAAAAGGATACATGGAAATGATTTTCCAAATTTACCACAGCATCTTAAAAGCATTAAAATACAAAACAAGCACTTTTCCAGTTTATTCTGTCAAAAATTGTTGAATGTACTCTGTCCTCTATTATTTGAAAAAATGCACAGTTCATTCATCATTTTGGTGCACAAACATGCTATACAAGAGGACCTATAAGGCTTTTAATGTCTGTATATTTCTGTAACAACTGTTAGTCAGATGTATTATAGATACTGTCAGGTATTGATGCAGTTTTATCAAATACTCAATAAATTGTCCACATATATGTGTGCTTAATTACCTAGAAGGAAAAAATACAATAGTAGCGTTCTACTTACTACACGTTTGATCCGAGTTACTATTAGCAACGAAATATATATGCCTACCCAGCACAATGAAATCAAGCTAAATAAGCCTCGATTGTTCGTGGGATGATCTGCTTTGTTTCTCAACCAGGCGCACGCATTGAATATCATCTTAGCAGCGTATTGATTATAGTATACAATTGAAACAAAGGAACTATTTTCTTAGCAAGAATGGAGCATTTAAGTATCTTGATCGTCGAGCCCAGCCAAGTCTAGTTGAAAATGCACAGTATTAGCTTAAAATCGTTTAAGAAAGGTATACGGATGAATATATATTTTTTATTCGGCTACTCTCCAATAGATGGCGCTGCATATCGGTAGCCATCACAAAGTCCACCCTTTTGAATGACTACCTTGGGCTGCTGAAATCCATTCAGTAATCCCCAATGCAAGCAAAGAGGGGGACGCTTTGTTTTTCAACAAAGCCAAATCTAATACGTAATATTAGAATATAATAAACAAATCTTAAACATACTTTCATCAAAAAATGGGGGGATTTTAACCCCCCTCACGGAAATTTAAGTTTCTTGGTCTTGGAGGATGCGTTGCCATAAACCCATCCCGAACCCCGACCAACCACCCCTAGAGATTCTTTTTGACTAGTTAAATTTAGTGAGATCTGTGATAACACTTTAGAAACAGGCGCCATCTATGGGATGGTAGCCCAACTATACGGATTGTACAGAATTAGCTTAAAATCATTTAAGAAAGGTATATGGATTAATATATGTTTTATTCAGCTACTTTCCAATAGATGGCGCTGTATATCGGTAGTTACCACAAAGTCCACGGTTTTGAATGACTACCTTGGGTTGCTGAAATTTTTGCCATACTGGTACTGTGTGGCACTATCATCAGGCCTCTGACAACGGCAAAAAAAGCAATATTTAAAGAGCTTCAAAAATATATTACGGAATAATATACAACATACAAAAATTTATTACATAATGAACAACTGAAACGACCGAATATGAACAACTTCTCATGAACAACTGAAACGAACGAATGTGAACAACTTCTCATGAACAACTGAAACGAACGAATGTGAACAACTTCTAATCACTATCTTCATCACTGTCACTGTCTTCTTCACTGGCGGTTGGACTGGACAGGATCTCTTCCTCATCCTCCAGCTCCTCAGCTTCGGAGTATTTTCTCTTTGACTTCCTCTTCTTCTTGTCTGCAACATGACAGTTTGGTAAGTACATATCCTCATACTTTCCCCCTGCTCCAGCAAATATACTGGATAACTACACCAAAAAAAATGATCTTTTTACCACGAACCTTTCTTATCCGGAGATAAAGATAGTTTTTCATCGTCTGCCTGATCACCACTATCTTCATCTGAATACTTGAACTTAGCCTTTTTCTTATTCTTATCTGCCTCGTCATCACTAGAAGATTCCTTCTTTCTCTTGCCTAAAAAGGATTCTATTTTTAAAGAAACCACCAATTTCGCCGTAAGACAACAATATCAAAACCTCAGCACCCGATTCCTCAGACACCAGCAATACTCATTTATAATGAACACCAAAAAATTATTTTTTCATTACCAACCGTTCTTTTCCGGAGAGGCATGGTCTGCTTCATCACCACTATCATCTTCATCTGAAGACCCTTTCTTGGCCTTTTTCTTCTTATCTGCCTCCTCATCACTAGAAGATCCCTTCTTTCTCTTGCCTAACAGAAAAAAACAATTGCACTGTTAAAAGCTTCAATAAAATAGTCTACCCATCAAAACTTTTTATATCAAAAATTAAAAAAATATACAGGGCGAGTTTTAGCGTGAGCTCGATCGATAACTCCATTACGCATGGTGTCAAGCATTATCGCCATCAGTGTGATTTGTAAAATATTTTTATTTTTTCAGGGTGATTCATAACTACGTGACGACACAAACATACTTTTTTTTAATGGAAAGCCCTGCATTTTATTCAGATTTGGATATGAACTCCCAAATGAAACAATTTGATGTAACATACAGGTGTTACTTGAGATAATGGGCAATCTATCAAAACAAAACACTCGACGTTGACCTCCGCAACTGCTGGAGCGCGGAATTTTTCGTCAGAAACATTTCATGATTCCATAATATCTCCCCACCACCCTACTTTTTTTAGGTTTTTTGGATAGTTTATACACGGTGGCCGAGAAGGCAAAATAAGCTGTTTCTCAAAATTTTCAATTGGAACACCCTGTACATTTTTATATTTTTTATTCTCCTTTTCACAAGCTTTTTTCGGCTACAAGGTTTATATGACTAGTTTTTGAGTTACTACTAGTTACTTTTTAGCTTTATTGCATACGGATGGGAAGTTTTAATTATAACGGATAGACACCAATTCTAACCACCTGCAGTTACCAGGTAAATGTTATTTATTTTGAAACGTAGGTTAGTTGTAGAAACCGGTCGGCCAAAACCCCAAACGAAAACTTGTAGAAATGGACATCAAGAAAAGTATATTAAAAATCTTCGAGAAATCGTTCATGTTTCATTCTTGAACACCCCGTATAAAATGTCCAAAAACTGAAAAAGAAAGTTGATAAGAACGATTTTTTTTATTACCCTTTGACATTATATTGTTGAAAGAACATATTGCTAAGGTGCATATATATAGTTGGTGTTACAAAATGTTAACATTTATGACATCCCTCGCCATCAGATTTTCCACTCCATCCTTTATGAAAAAAAAGTGAGTGAATTTTCGTCGTGCTTCTGCTCAATTTTGGAGATGCAATTAAAATTAGAAACTGAGGTACCTGTTGGAACACCCTTTCCATTGCAAAAATAATTATAAAATTTAGAAAAAAGATCTGCTACCTTCACTAGGCTTATCAGTCTTCTTCTCGAGACTAGAGCTGCTGCTTCTCTTTTTATCAGCATCACTATCGCTGCTATCAGAGTCCTCTATGTACTCCTTGCTCTTGATCTTTCTCTCGTCTACTTTAGGATCTGCCTTCTTGCTGGATGGGTTTGGCTTCTTTGAGGGAGATGATTTCTTCTTTTCGGACTTCTCACCACCGCCACCAGATGCGACGTATTCTTCCATTTCCTTAGTGTATCTGATAGAAAAATAATAATCAGCATTTAGCGATTTAAGACATTATTGCAATCACACTGCCACTCAGTGTGGTAAGTTCTGTCATTGATTCACGTATTCACCAGAATAAAGCCGCGCCTGTTCGAAAATAAAGTACCGTATCGCCGCCAACACTCATGCTTAACTGTTGACCACCGGCTTTAGGTGTCAGCATTGCTACCTCTCGGAAAGTAGCCGCTTGATATGAGATTTTCCCTTTTCATTATTGAAAAATTCTGAAATCTTAGGAATAAATACTGGGGAGGTTGAGGAGTGGTCTTTTTTTGAAAGGTTGATGCTATGCTCAAGTATAAACAATTCGCTTTAAAAGGAAAATGGAGTCTTATTATTTTAAGACAATTACTGCAACCCTACACGGCTAAGACGATGGAAATTGTAAGTCAATTTCTAAATACAGCATAGGATTGGACATTTTCTTGGAGAATAAGTTAATCAACGATTTCTAGTCTTAACTTTCATAGCACTGAAAAACTATTGCAATAATCAGACTTCACCTTTCCTTATCCTTCTTGGCACGCTCCTCCCATTCAGACTTATCTTTGAGCTCTCTCCACATTTCTCCTCCAATCTTAGCGATTTCTGTTACTTTTACTCCCTCATTCTCTTTTTTGATCTTCTCTCTGTTATCATTCAACCACAACATGAATGCAGTTGTAGCTCTCTTCGGTTTATTTTCGTCCTTATCCTTCTTTCCACGCTTCTTACGAGGCTTCTCAGATATTGTCTTGGTCTTCTTTTCTTTTTTATCCTTCTTTTTCTTTTTCTTGGCTAGTGAACAAAAATATTTATAAACAACCGCTTAACACACACTAACGAAATCGGATAGAGGATTGTTAAGGTGCATATTATCCAATTGATGCGTCGAGCAATCAAAGAAAGGCCATATTGGTTTGATATCGGAAATCAATATTGTATCAATGTTCAACTGTTCCTATATTGGGACAATACAGTTTGCTACTTGGGTTGGTCAAAAAATGTCTTAAAAAAAGCGCCCAACTTATAATCTCGAAATACCTTACTGGGACACACAATAAAAAACTAACATACCTTCCTCTCCAGAACCCCCATCGCCGTCTTCATCTTCAGAAGAGCTGCTGTGATTAGTATCGTATTCTTCAGCGACATCACTTTCTTCAGCATTTGGATTGAAGTCTTCATCAGTGCTGGACTCGTCGCTAACGTCATCAGAATCGCGCTCTTTCGCTTCTGCTTTGACGCGTTCGAGATAAGCGTCTGGGGCCTCGTCATCAGAGTCACCGAAATCTTCCTTGTAGCCCTTGTCCTGGAAAAAAAAAATAGAATTTTACCGTATGCATGTACTTGAATGAATTAGAGTGAAAAAGAGGGCCCAAAGACCAACCCTCCTAGCATAGTAAGAACACCTCTGGGCTACCTCTTAATTAGGGACACACAGAGTACGACTTTTTCACGTTTTACAAAGTCATTATCGACGAGGTCTGTAAATTAAGAGATGAAACTGGCTGGACGTGCCTTTGACGTCGATCATCTCCCACAAAATGGGCCGGATTAGTGGGGTCTGATGTCGTTTTTTGATGGTTTGTCAAGATTTTCTCGCTTATTATTGAAAATATCAATTTTTACTTTTGCAGCTTAAAGTGATACCCGTTATCACACGACTTAACGGGAGTAATCACAGTAAAAAAGAAAGTGAGGAATCAGGAATCACTACAATTATAGATTGCCCAGCATTTGCATCATATGACTTAAATTTACTAATTCTAAGTTGTTTAAAATTATTCTGTTTATGTAGCCAAATGTGCTAAATAAATCTTTCTACAACTAAACCGGATACTCGCTAAAATGCGCCACGCCAAGTACGCCGAGTCCCGAGTACAGACTGGGTACTCTGTGCATCCGTACTTTTATCATCCTCGGGATTCAAAGTTTGGTCTCCAGTATTGCTTTCCAATCTCAAAGCCCCGCAAAAATAAATTAGAAACATTGATCAACAGATTACATTTTCGTATTAAAGAAAACTGTTTATTGCTAAATATGAAATCAATCTTCCAAGGAAAGGGCAACAGTTCCGAAATAGGCAGTGCTGATGCATAAAGATGGTGACCTAGCTGTAAGTATAGAAGATTGGCAGTGTCACAGTATATATGTTCAATTTCATGCAGGCACAGCTTTCTACTGAACTGTGCAAATGCTAGAAGTATCTCATTTAATCTACTTACGTTCTTCCCACGATTCTTAATGTTCAACTTTTTGGAGGTGATGAAATCAAAAAGCTTAGCATACTCTTCCTTTTCAATGCTGCTGAATGTGTGGACAGTACCACTCTTGAGCTCTACCTCAAAGTCGAACGATCTGGTACTACCTCCTCCACGAGCAAAGTTCACGCTGGCGATTTCCTCGAAACGGATGTGAATTGGGGGCTTGTGGACGTAGATGAAGCCTCGTTCTAGCGGATATAGCAATCCAGCAGCTGCTTTGAAGGAACAGCTGACTGCTGGGGTACCTGAATGCCTGCAATTACAAAAAAATCAAGTATTAAAATTAGAACTATGAGCACTGAAATTTGAAAGCTTCCTTGCTGGTATGGCCAAAACATGGATAATTAAATCAGTATCACCACCCCAGTGTTCTTTCAGTAGTAGTCAACACTTTCTATGCAGCACTGCAAAGTACATACTTCAAAAGTATAATCAATGCAAGCAATATCGAACTTACCCAACAAAGTTTCCTGGGCCTGTAACTTTTCTGTTGATAATATGCTTCATTATTGTACCCATAACTTCAAATGTAGGTCCACTAAGCTCTTTCTCCAGTTTTCCTTCATATTTTTCTTTTAACTCTTCCCTGAAAAACATTAGTTGTTCAACTAATATGCCTATGCTAAATAATGAAATCGTATAAGTCATCACTCTCTCTTAACTTAAATGCTCAATCAACACTCACATAATGCCATTTATGCAAATGTATCAACCATTATATTTGTTTATTAAGTATTGGCTAATGAGATACTTACTCAGTGAATGGTAGCTCCAGTGAAGTCTCATCCTCTTGGTTGAAAAGGAACACCAGAAAATGGTACCTGGTCTGACCCTGCTTTATTGGAGGATCCAAGCTGACTACAAAGAACGTTTGACGACTATCCTTGTGTGGCAGGAGGAACAAACGCAATACTGTTGTGATGGGTATCTTGTAATCAAATGTTTTACCATGGAGTTGGAAGAATGTGTTGAAAATTTTGATGTCATAACGACCCCTGGAAGGAAAAATTATAATGTTAGAAAAATCTTTTTTTTTCTCCTTATAATGTAAGGTTTGCTTTTAGCAATTGTACCTTTATAATCAAGTCATACATTTTGAAAACAGTTTGCTAGACTCTTACATCATTACAAAGAAAATTAAAAATCAAATTGTTTCTTCTCTATGAGGGAAAAGAAAATATGTTGGATAAAAAATGTGAAAAATATTTACCTGGGTGTGAGGCAGTGGATTTCTCTGAATATTGCAATGGCATCCCCAGAAACGTTGATGACACTAGCCTTATCCATGACACGTTGTTGGAATGCTTCTACAGGGTCAACATCACCAGCTAACTCATTTGATGGGATAAAGAATCTCACTTCCATCAAGCTTACTGGGGCATCGTCATTCTAAAAAAATTGATAATTGTTAATAGTTCATTAGAATAGGGAGATAAAGATAAAAAAATTAATGAAATTGTCATGAAATAAGTTTCATTACCAGCAAGGCATACTTGAAATTAAAATGTTATTCAATGATTGATTTTGGTATATTACCTGATGGAACTCCATGGTTATTTCATTTTTTCCAGCAGTGCATTGAGAAACATGGTTCAAAGGTATTTCAAAAGCAGTGTTGGAGCCAACATCAAAGCTCAAAACAGAGCCCTCAAATTTGGCAGTGCCCCAGTTCCAACCTTTCATACTCAGTTCCTTCTCTAACATATCCATCTTATAGGCATTCTTGAAAAACTTAGCAATCTTCTCTTTGTCAGAATCCTTAAACCCAACAAATCTGTGCAGAATGCCACTTTTCAGGAAGATACGTATTCCCCAGTTACCAGCGATGTTTTGAAAATTCACCATCTCAAAATCACTACTAGGGATCTGCTCTACTTTGCCAGTCTTGCTGTTCTTGAATATTATGTTCTGATCAGTCATCTTCAATTTTCCAGAGGTCTGAAAATAAATTATATACCTAAGGAATATTTTAAATATGCTATAGCACTGCAAACGTCTTGTGAACCATGACCATCAGGTTGAGTGTGAATGCCTAAGGCAACAGCGCCACATATACATGAACATATTCAAGGCACAATCTCAGCTGGAATTCATACAGAGTACAAATTAGTGAAAATAAATATGCAGTTCAGCTTCTTTCCGACTCACCAAGCCCGAAGATGCAAAACATAAAATCAGATTGCCACTAGGCAAGCTAAGTAACCATATCTATTCATGGATTTTTTACCAGATTAATAAAAAAAATTGCCAATGCTGCTACCATTTATATGCTAGGTGTTGACTCAGGAACAATCTCACATTATAGTTACATACCTCCATCATTAAGGCTTGATAAGAGCCTATTGCGAACAATGCACATGGAATGAAGTAAACTGATATTATTGTAATTACCACCCTCATAAGTCACAAATGATCATGGTCAAACTAGCTTCCTTGTGATAGAACAGATGAGCTGACTAATAAATTATACAAATACTGATCCTCTAGATTTAGAAGCATCTCCTGTTTTCTTTTGTTTCTCCAGAGAGATGGTAGCATGCTATGATCATATACCTTCAACCTTTGTTTTACCAAAAGCAATTATTCATAATATTACCCACCATGCACCCCTTTACTTCTGCAGAAATGTCTGAATACTCCAGGAAATCCATCTTCATTTCCCAGAATTTGAAATTTCCTCAAAACACCGGTCTTCTTTCTTCAAACGATCCTAGGTCGCATTAACCTAAAAATGTATGCTGCCGTTACAATTTTGCTAAAAACGCTATAAGATTTGTAAACGGTTTTTTCATAAATGACGAGGCTTACAATTTCCTTCGAGAACACAAGGACCAACAACACAAGGAAAACGGAAAATGCCCAGAAAATAGTTGTTTAAACAAAATATACACCCAAAAAATGCTAAACTCAGTGTAATTCAACCATTTCAACCACCAGCAACACGATTGTCGCCATTTCATGGGGAAAGAACCATGAACCAATATGACACAGAAAGAACGCCTGCCTACTCAGAACAATTCGATGAATGACATATGACGCCATGTTTCTTACAATGACATACGGCGGTACTCTCATGGTTGCCTAGTTTCTCACCACATCTGTCACTCATTGTCATCTTTATTTGGTTGTTTTGAATGGTTTTCCTAATAATAAAAATTAATTTTGCATTAGGAAAAACAAGTCCAACACCTCACGTGTATTTGTGATCGGATTCGTTCAAGAGTGATAAATAAAACAATATAATTAGGAAAATAACTTTATTTGGGTAGATAACGTAATGTGGTGCATTAGCAATATTATGCATTATGGTGGAAGTGACAATTGGCAGAGGGAAGGAAACAATATTAATGGTTCATATTAGTATTTTCCGCTAGAGGGCAGATTAACAAAACACAGAGACGGACTTGGCTCAGACGTAGCTTGTCCGTTATTTCTGTATTTCCACTCGAGGTTCAGAGCAATTTACGAAACCCGTCAGATGGGAATTTGGGAAAGATAATATATTGGAATAAGAGTAATTTAAAGATGTATGTCGCTAGGTATTTCCTCAATTTTGAGTGGAAAATCTTAGCATCATCCTCGGCGAACATGGGGAAGAATTCGAAAATAAAGCAAGACACTTTTTCAAATATTTATTTAACTGGTATTCTTAAACCTTATTCTTAGTAGAAAATAATTTAAAGTTGAATAATAACAATAATTACTATTGAATAATAACAATTAATGATACCTTTACAAAATGTAATAAGTTTTGAATCTGCGAGAATCAAAGTCATTCCGAAACCACATGTCTTCTGACAATTACAAAAATATGAGTTGACAAAAAATAAGTAGGTTTCTGCGATAAAAATCGAATATAGAAATTATACATAATATCATATATATGTTCTCATTATTAACATAAATAATGACATTGATTAAAATTCATAATTTTTAGCTTTCCTAATATTTGTCAGCTATTATAAATCTTTTATTAATGTAATCAGAAGACATTTAATATTTACCACTCAAAAATTTGCATCAGTACTCACTCATTATCACATTTTTGAGATTCTACAAACGTGCCCAAAAAGTATCCAAACAAAATGAGAGAGAGAGAGAACACCCTAACCTGCATTAGATAACTCTTGATGCCTTAATTTTCAATAAATCGTATTTGTGAGTGTTTAGTAATTTTTCCTAAGAATTTGTTTTATGGAAGTTCATTCCAAACTAGTCATTTGAAAAAGGCCAGGCTTTCTGTTTAAGGAAACACACAATTTTTTATCTACATGTCTCTCTTTTTTGGGACACCTTGTGTATTGATCCTTGTTGATTTGTAAGCTTACTTCCACGATAATGAGGAAGTACCTATGGATATTTTACTCAGGAATGATACATGGAACTACACTTATAAATGTTCAGTGGTTAACAAAAGTTTATCAGCACCTCTATCCTGAAATCAGTAAAATAAGAGATGCTATGCTATATTATTATTACTTTGGTATTTAGCTGTGTTTCAAAATTCACATATCTAGGTATAACGTCGTCACTTTTATACGTCAATATCATTTAAGTTACGATTTAAATTATTATTAAGCATAAATATTTAAATTTGTATAACAAAGTCCATTTCCAGACTTGGTTCCCATGTTTCTCTATGTTTTTGTGGTCGTAGGCTGTGAACATGATTATTTGTATTTTTCACAAAATCTGCACTCGGAGTTTTGGACGGAAATGATATGGTATCAGGCAACCGAATTCAGTATGTATTTTGTTTTTATTGTCACGATTTCAGAAGTTTTGAAAATTTGTACTTGCTTAATTATAGTTTCGAAGCATATCCTTACTGGAGTAGTGTTCATATTTAGAAAAAAAAATGTTCCATTCACATAACTTCCTTTTTTTAAACTGCGCGCAATTCAGTCGATTGATGTCGTAGCGGAGCGCTAGTGACCTCGCTGCACTATACAGTTTTGTCCCGACACAGTTCAGTCGCCATCATGCGTTGGTACGGTGAGGGACGCGTTTTCACTGTTGCTTAAATTTAGCGCCGTTTCCCCCTGTTCCGGTCCGGAAACCAATTGTTACGTGGGTCACTACGTTCAGACGAATTGTAAGTGCGACAAGACGAAGAAATGGAGTCCCTCAGTCCATTAGATCACATGAAAAAATTGAGGCATGTTGTTAAATTGTTAAATTTTTGAAATTGTAAGGATGACTTCAAGATAATCAGACAGACAAAATTGGAATTCCTTTGAATTTACTTAAAGTCACAGTGTGGTGTGGAATTTCCTCAGCTGAAATTATTGGTCCCTGTTACAGGAATATTTTTGCATGGCTAGATGAGTTGGACTTGGGGGACATTTGGTTACAACAAGACAGTGCAAACGTTACACACTTCATCGATGGTTGTTTTGAGGGACACTTCCCAGGGCACCTAATCTCGATTAGGGGTAATTTGGAGTGACCAACTCGCTCTCCAGATTTGCCCCCATTGTGATTTTTTACTGTAGGTTTTTGAAACTCTGCATTTATGTAACCTGTATAAGGACGCTACAAGATTTAAATCTATTTCAGTGTATGGAGCATGGGGCACGTCACCTATCTGGTTTAATATTCAAAACTACATAAAACAACAACAAATAAAAATGTTCTGATTCATACAATGAGTTTTATTAAGTTTTAAAAAAAGGAAGCTATGCTGCCACCCTATATAACCAATATGTTTGATCTGAACCTTGAATAGGGCCAGGTTGTTAGCCAAAACATCAGCTATGTCTAACTTATACATATGTGGTTTTACTTGACCAAAGAGCCAATGTCATCAGCAAGGAAACCGTATAGTAAGTTTCAGTCCATAATCCAGTGTTATCACACTGTGGTAGTCTGCATGGGTCTGTTCCAGGGCCAGTAGCTTATTGATGATGAAGTAAATTAAAAATAAGGTTTTTATGCTTCGAGATTGGAACTGTAAGGATAACTTCAAGATAATCAGGCAGACAAAGTTGAAATTCCTTTTTTTGCTAGGTAGGGAACAAGAAAAGTTGAGTATACCTATGATTTACAATGCAATAAATTACATTTACAATTTGACTAGAGTAATATATTCTCAACAGTATTATTAATTTAATTATTAGAATAATTTGTGTACTAAGACGTAGAATGACTACAGGAAAATAGGTACATATTTTTTCATAAAAATATGGGATCAAAAGTGGTGATTGGTGTATTTTTGAGATTGTATTTTTCTAAGTTAATTACGCTCTTAAGGCCATAGAATCACCGATTATTAAACACGGGAGAAGAAAAAGTTGTGCTAAAGATAACATCTTGTGTATCTAACTTGAGTTGGCTTGAGGGTGTGATGCCTATGTGTATATACAGATTAACTATTCTATTATAGTACAAGTAACTTTTTAAAATAGAGTAGATTAATTTTGACGTGCAAAGGATTTTTCAAATTGCTTCTAATTCTGAGGTTGCTTACTCTGTCAATTCGCAGAACATAAATTCACATTTTTTTATTGTATTAGCGACACCTACAATTTGCCAAGTCTAGTTTGAAATACCCTTTGCAACATGTATCTACCAGCAAAGGAGATTTTTATATGTCAGACAAATTAATTATTTAAAAATATATAAACAATAAGCTGGACAAAGACTGTAGAAATACCATACAAATTTCTGAAATCCAACATATAGAAAATATGCTTTGCTGGAATACTAAATATTTCATTTAACCAAATTTGGGAAATGTAACATTTCAAAGATATGCGTTACGTTGTTTTTAAAAACTAATATAAATATATATCTGGTCTAAGATTTAAGGACTACATCTACTAATTGATAAGACTAGAGCTATATGTAAAATATTTAAAAGTAGTTTGACATGTTGATATTTCCTTTGAATTCACTGTGTCCAAGAATTTTATGAAATGGTCATACCCCACTCGTCCAAAAATGTGTCTAAGCACTACTCGACTCCCTTCCAGTAAGTATGAATATGATATACAAAAATTAGGAACAATTATTCCGACGTTCAGATAAAGTGATATTTCAGATTTTTCGAATCGTGGCGACCTTCTCACAATATTCTGGAACAGTCTGCACAGAACTGATTGCACATTCTTTTGCAGTCAACAAAAACTTTATGCAAAAGTAAGAGCAATTAATTACTAAGTCTGTCTATATTTATTGAGCATGTTTCCTCTATAACTTGTAACAAAGTGGAATTACCTTAATACAATATAATAAATAAGTACGTTTTCCAGAGTAATGCACTAAACATTCATTTTCGCAGCGGAGATTCAATGAAATTTACATTTGAACAAAGGCTGATTAGTTGTGCATAGGAACAATGCTACTGTTGCAAACATCACAGTATAAAATTACTACAATATCAAAATCTGAGAATATTTTAAGAAATCTGGAAGTAAGTACATATATTTTCACGATATCAACAATGCATTAAAACTAATTTGAAACTGCTTCTTACAATATTTTGTGTCCTGCGAACAACAAACCTACTACGAACATTTCATATGACCAAAAGAAAATCACTTATATAAAATTGATTGTTATGACTTCGGAATATCAAAATGTCTTTTGGGCAACTATGTTCAAAAATGCTTCAATCTAACTTGTCTAATAACCGATCTTATAGAAATTTGTTACAGTCAGAGAATCTACGACTCGAAATGATGAAATATTCTGCAGTTCTCAGACGACAAAATTCGAATCGGCGTATAACTACATCATTCCAAAAGTATGTTTAAGAAGAATCACTGGAGTCTGGCTTCTTGCAGGGTTTGCGCTTGCGCAGCTGTCTGGTATGGGATTCCCGGGAAGGCGCCGGCAGTTGCAGCAGCAGCTGGCAAGCCTGGAGTCTGGGGAAGAGCCGCATACGTGTAGGGCATGTAACTTGCACCTGAAAACAAAAAAACTTCGTTACAAATACATTTTTCCCTAGTCACTGGCAAGGAAACATTGTAATCGGGAACAAATTCGATGTATGTAGGTACA